ACTGGTGTTTTGGAGACTCAGAAGGAAACCTTTCATCTTGTCCATTTGACCTGCGTGAGACAGAATAAGTGAAGAGATCAATATGTCTCTCAGACGGTTTGAGAAATATTGATTGACAAAACGCCTGGCCTCATAATTCAGTCTGTCTCGATTTAAACATTTTGGATCATAAAAGCAGAAACAAAGCAGACTTCATCTAGTGTGTTTGTAATTCTTTCCAAAGATTCAGGATAAATCTTTATTTCTAGAAAGTTAAACCCCTTGGTCTACACACAAGATCATCTGAGAGAAATCCAGTATGGGTAACAGCCTGACTGATGAGGTTATTTTAAAATTGCTTCACTGATTTTATCTGTTCTGTCCTGTTCATTTAGGCCCCATTTGTCCTAATTAATTCCGCTGTCATGTACCCTCTTAAGGAAAGTAAACAAATTAGCAAAGTGAAGCATCAGCCGTCTGGCCTTCCTCTTGCTAACACTATAAAAGGTTGATTAATAACTTAAAGGAAAACAGTGTAGGTGTATTACATCCCATAAAATCCTCGTCATGAACGCTGCACCTATGCACAAAGTCTCTGGGCTCTTTCTGGATGCTACCGCCTCATCCTAACAGCTGGCCCTGACTTGGCGGACGCCGATTTCTATAAAAGATGTGCGTGCCGAAGAGAGAATTGTGTTCATGTTTGTGTGTGTCAGGTTTTTGTCTCTCTAGGGAGTCTCCCTTTGGGATAAGAGCCGATTTATACACCCCGCCCACACACACACACCCTGTTTATCCCTCCCTCCAGCCGCCGCCACCCTTACCCAACTCCCCACAGCAGTCCTGGGCCGTTCAGATAAGACTATGCAATTAATCGCTTCAGGACCAGCACCCATCGGGGACACTTCAAAGAGTGGTGCACACTAGAATACCCGGTGCGTGAGGCTGTAAAGGGGGTGTGTAAAAATAGATTTATTCGCCTTTGGCATGCTTGTGATGTCATATTTCTTGATTTCTGACACCCCCCATTTAGATGTAACGGGAAATAAATCCTACTTCTTTCCTCTTTTTTCTTTTTTTCCTTTTAAGGCAGCTGATCGCATCAGAGAATCCAGCTTTTCTTTTTTACGTGAACGTGGCATTGCATGTTATGCAAGGTTTCAGGCAATGACTTTCAGATGGAAATGCTAGGATAATTAGCATGAAGAAGATGAGGAAGAAGAATGACAAGGGAAAATTCTTTCTACTTAAATCAAAATGCAGTTGTTGCTGAGGTCAAATGTATTTGCACTCCCCACAATAATAACGACTTTGTGTTCCAGTGGTGAAGAATAATCTCTCAAAGCCATTGCATGACAACACGTCACATGTGTTTAAGACTCAGCTGAGTGGGATTTAGGCCATGAATCCAAACAGTGACCTGAAATGTGGATAAAGTCTCTTTTTATGCCTTTTTTTTCTCGTTCTGTAATTAAATTGCAGGTATTTCATGAAAAGTGTTTTCAAAGCTGAGTGGACATGAACCACTCCAGCAAATTGCACCAGTAAATCCACTTTAATCGTTCTATTATGTTAAACTCCAGTGTCATTGTTTTATATTCTTTTTTGTTTTCTTGCAAATATGGGATTTAAACAGTTTTGCTGTCCTTAAAAAAGTGTTCATGACCCTTAAAGCGTTTTTAAAAACACTATGTGTGGGTTTAAGCAGCTTTATGTGCCTGGGGTTTGATTCCACAGTCTTGGTGACAGCATTTGCCGCCTTTGCCTGGATTTATCCAAGGCAATAAATGAGATGGCTATTATGCCAGATTGAGAGCAAACAGGGATGTTTCTCCTGAACAGACCGTGGTCCTAATCCACAGAGCTTAGATTATAGAGTCCTTCCTTCCATGCAGGAGGAGCAACCATGAGGCTACTACAGACTGTGAGCCTGGAGTGGTGGTTTATGGCACAATAATGCTTTTATACCTATTGTGGTTTAGCATTTCTCTGCCCATCTGTCCTCCATCCAGGATCCATTTCCACCAAATCTAAAAATATAATCAGCTTCTTCTTCACTTATAGCTTTTTTTTACTCATTTGGAAACAAATATATATTTAAGTTTTGACCTAGGTTTGTTTTCTTCCACTCCTCTGATTAGAAAAGTCCCTGACCTTATCCCTGACCCCAAAAGGCTTATTGTCTAACTCCTCTGCCCTCCAATCTCTTGCTATTGTAGCTGCGTTTCTGTCTCGTGCTCCTACCTTTTGTCGTCAACCCCTGCCTGTGATTTATCGGCTTGCAGCCAAGGCTTGACGGCTTCCCCGGCCCCTCCCTCCCTTCTGGCTTTCTGTGACAGAGGAGAGGTCGAGAGGCTGAAGAGTCTGACCGGGAAGGCTTGCATTTGCCAGCCAAATGAAGGTGACCACGAATATCAATGTCAGCAAGCAGCTGGTAGGAAACTGATTTACCTACACTTGCTGAGACAAAGCAGAGAGATTAACTCTTATAATGTGGTCAAAATAAAACCAAAGACACTTTAAAATATATTAATTATCTGCTGTCTCTTTTTAGAGAATAATTCCTTTAAAAGACAATTTCGTCTTCTCGCTAAGACGCAGTCTCTACCAGATGGCACTGTGGGAACAGACCTTTAAATAATCCCGTGGTGCCGCAGATGGCTTGGTGTTAAGAGTAATGGCCGTCAGTGTTAGAATTTGTGTGATCAGAAGGGGTGCTTTGGCCAATGGGGGGGTTTTACAGCCTTGTTTTGGGATTTTCTGCAGCATGCAGCTCATGTTGAACTATAACGGGGGGATGAAGTTTGAAGATGCATCATCGGTCCACACTAATGAAACTCAATCTAGTGGTATGAGAGTGTGTTCTTATCTGCATTCAGCCACCGTAAATAAATTGTAAAATGGGATTATATTGATTCACTGTGGTCACAAATGTGCCTGGCTGATCTTGATGTCCACTGATTATTTTACATTCAACCTAACCTGTTGCTATTGATGTAAATTTAATCTATTTAGATCCTGCAGCAATATATATTTTGTGTAGAATCTCCAATATGCTGTTTTTAAAGCTTTATATAAGGAGCAGAGTAAATTGATTATAGAAATTGGATTTTAAACACGATTTGTAAACGGGAGTCTGTTTGCGTTGTTCCCAGGGAAAGTAGATCCTTGCCTTCACTAACCTTCCCAGAGGAATGACAGGAATGTTGAAATCCAGCATTTTCCTATGTAAAATGAAAGTACGCCCAATTCCTCGTCTTCTCAGTGTCACTTCTATGCTTGGTATGAGACAAACTGATTTGATCTGTATGTGGAAATACACCTTATATATATATGGATATAAATTCTAGGTTTTTATATAAGGAAAACAAAGCATGCACTTCTGCTGACTGTCTTGCAAGGTGCAGTGACAGTATTTGCAGATGATGAAGCTTGTAATGTCAGTTTTAGAGTTCAAGATGTTACCATGTAATTCCCATATCTTCTTTATGATGCCTATTAAAAAAAACAATAAGTTATACCAATACTATGCTAAATAGTCCAATGATGACATGACTAGCCTAAGCTTTCCTGCCTCTTCGCCATCATCACACCCCCCTACCACTTTCTCTGAGCTTGAACCTTGTTGCCATCAGGTGTAAACAGGAATGCACAATTGGCATCCAATATAAACCTTGGTAGATACAGCATGCCGGTTGTCCTTTTGTAATTGTTTTTTCATAGATTAATGCTGCTATTCTCTATAATGTGCAGCTCTATGTTGATTTGATCTCCTTCGTGCTTTGTTTGTTTCTTTTTTTTTTTTTTTTTTTTTTGATAATCGAATAAATGAATCTGTTCTGTTGCATATTATTGCAAAACTATCTTGGATTATAAGCAGATTAATTCCATTCATTAAAAATAAACTTGATATTAAACATTATGCAGGTTTTTTTTTTTTTTTTTCTTTAGCATTTACCCCATGCAAGCTATCTGTTTTGCTTCGCTTGTGTTCTTTGGGTGCAATCTGGTGAATATAGAGCAGCTCCTCAGAGTGCCGTAATCCTCAGATGATGCCAGACACATAAATGCAACAAATAAAAAACATTGAAGTTAATCTTTGCACTGATGCACCAGGTATACGGCTGCTAAATGCATCCAGAGATTTGAGGTTTTGGCCTTAAATTGAATCCAAATCGATGTCCCACACCAGCTATTCTCTTTGCGAAGGGGACTTCAGGCTCTTGGCTGCTGGAAGAGAATCAAGTCTGCAGGGCAAAATATGCAATCCATCTCACAAAACAACATTTTTTTGCCTGCCAGGACCTTCAAACCATTAACAAGATTAGGGAGCGTACAATGGCAAAATTCCCTGTCCTTTCTCCCTCTGTCTCCGTCTGTTTTCGCCCCCTCCCTCCCATTTTCCCTCCCATTTTGTTCTAGCTCATTTGACAGTACAATGCAGACATTCAGGGGTTTGTCTGCACCTTCCTCTGAGGGGAGTCTCTAAACAAAACCTTTTTCTTTATGCTGTAATGGCTGCAGCAGCTCACATAAGCAGAGGTACAAATCACCACACAGGGATCACATCTTACAGAGAAATTACTACATTCATGTAAAAGATGGCCTTTTGTATTCCACATGGGCTATTTCTCATTGGCAAGGCAAGTTTTATTTGTCTGGCAAAATTAGCACAAAGACGACTCCAAAGTGCTTTATGATTCAAACAATAAAAAAGATGGAAAATAAAAGATTAGAATAAAGATAAAAACGGGAAGTAAAGCGGATAACAGTTGGACTACAAACTTAAGCAAATTTTACCTCAGTTAGTAGTTTAAACAGCAAAAGACACAAACAAAACAGATTGTGTCCAGTTTGTGTGTTCTATCAGAGAACTTTTTATTCTTCACAGTTTTAATTTCCAGTTTTTTTTAACAAGATGCTATGAAAAATGAGCTACTCTGATAATGAAACTGCTAGCATTCTCTGAGTTTAATAGACCATTTGTATCTCATTGAATTTCCTCTCTCCATCTTTCTCAGGTTCCCACAGATGTTTCGATGGGTCTGCTGGCTGAGCCCCAGGTGGCCATGTTTTGTGGTAAACTCAACATGCACATTAACGTGCAGAGCGGCAAGTGGGAGCCTGACCCATCTGGTACCAAGAGCTGCATTGGTACCAAAGAGGGCATCTTGGAGTACTGCCAGGAGGTAAATTGTCTTTGCCAATTTGCTCATTTTACAGTAGCCCATTAGAGACTTTTTCCCCCTCTTAACCTAAAACAAAAAGATAATTATTTAAACGGTATTGGAGCAGATTTCAGAAAATTTTGGCAATTTTTCTGTCTAATTCATTTCACATAATCTATAAAACATCTATAAAACACATATTTACATGTGACAAATTGGTTCAATTAACAAGAAACAAATTCAGTCGGAAACTACAATTACTACAGCCAAAGCAATTGTGTTATTTTATATCATAATGATGTAAATTCAGTCAATTTTATACAAAATGGTAAAAAGTTCTCTAAGCGAGCCCAGGTGACTGCATTATATTTAATGGGGCTAAAGCAAAGCTTTAACCAGAAACGGCCTGTTTGTTACCTGTTAGGCTTTTTCCAGAAAAGAGACATGGCTAAACTATGAAAGGTAAAATAGAACACAAAAGCAGCAGAAGAACTGTATTTGTTTGGCTTTTTTTCTCTGAAGGAAATGTAGACAAAGGTAAATGCTCTGGATGAAGAGAACTAGTGGCTTCTTGCTGAAAAGAGACGCAGCTAAACATGTAATTATTCAGACATTATAGCTTTGTGTGGAAGAGAAATTGAGAAAACACAAGACTTGAAGGCAGCAGAGACACTGACCAATATTAATTTCTGAGAAATAAATGGAGATGAGAAAAATACAGCAGTATAGTATTTGTGTCAAAAAGAGATGCAACTAAAGACTGAAGCCCTAAATGTCGGTCAGTGTTCTTTTCCGGGAAAGAGACCCAGTTAAACACAGATGCTCTAACACCTGAATACTTTCTATTAAAGAAGAAAACACACCCCACAAAAGTCACTGACAGCAGTATTGTTTCAAGGAAAATATCTTAAATAACGTTTTCTGGAAATTAAAACATTCCAAGTTAATTGCAACAATGGCTTTATCCTTTGGAAAGACATGGCTAAACAAAGAAGCAGAGCAAAGAGTATTTTTCAAAGTCAGTAAAACAAAATGGACATTGTTAATGGGATAGTATCTGTGTTAGTGGCTCCTTCCAGGAATTCACTCTGTTAAAGACGGTGAGGTGAGAACACTTTCTATCACAAGGAATTGCAGCAATTTCTCTGTTAATGATTCTGTCCATGAAGCTGAACAAAATGTCACTGGAACATTTAGAAAAAAATAGGTTTGCTTTATTCAGTTGGTTTAAAATGTTGTAAAGCAAAGTACTACGGGAGGAGTAAAGTCAGGAAAGTATATATTTCTTTTTCTTCTTTCTGCGGAGAGCCTTTAATTTCTGTAAATGGAAAAAGAAAAAAAAAGAGAATCCAAAATTTCCCTTTTTTACATGTTTTCCCCTAAGCTTTGTTCTGCCATCAAGCTGCTTATGTCCTTCCATGTGACTTTGCTTTCACAGTCACGCATAGATGGTAATAGGACGCAGGGAGGGAGCCTAAAATAAAAGCTGAAAACCTAATACCTTCCTCGCATTCTGAAATAAAATAAAAAAAACATGACAAGATAAACACAGCTGGTAAAAAGTCTTAAAATTTAGATGATTGGAGGGCATCTACTGGAAGAGAAGAGAAAACAAAGAGAAAGATGAGATCAAGACTATTTCTTCCAAAGTTAAGAGAAAATGTTTTCCCTCCATGGTTGAAAAGACTTAATTATGTTTTAGTAATAATTAGCAAACAGTTGATCTCTGTAACTAGTAAAGTTTGCACATGATAAATGATTAGCAGCTGTAAAATCAGTTGGGGTGTTTGTTTTTTTTTTTTTTTTGCACTCTTATGTTGCGGTTGTAACGCATGCTGTAATATTGTGCATCTAGGTGTATCCAGAGCTCCAGATTACCAACGTGGTGGAAGCCAACCAGCCGGTCAGCATCCAGAACTGGTGCAAGAAGGGACGCAAGCAGTGTCGCAGTCACATGCACATAGTGGTGCCCTATCGCTGCTTGGGTAAGTCTGCCATCTTTTCTTGCCGTTTCAGTTTTAAAACTCCATTCATATGGAATAACTCCCAGGAAATTGGATAACTTGCTGTGTAGTCTGAAATCTGGATGGGTTATCTGGGTGTGTGTTTATATTGTTACTATGAGATCTGAGCTTATTGTGTTTGCGCCGCAGTGGGAGAGTTTGTGAGCGATGCTCTGCTCGTTCCCGACAAGTGCAAGTTCCTCCACCAAGAGCGGATGGATAAATGCGAGAGCCACCTGCACTGGCACACTGTAGCCAAGGAGGTGAGCACACTTTCACTACTTTACTTTGATTTATTCACCTTTTTTTATTTGATTATTAATCTTTCCCTTATTTTTCTGGCCCTTTTTTTGTACCTTTACCTGCGTAGTCCTGTGGCGACCGTACCATGAATCTCCATGATTACGGGATGCTGCTGCCTTGCGGCATCGACCGCTTCAGAGGAGTGGAGTTTGTTTGCTGCCCCAGCGAGGCGGAGCAGGGCGCCGAGAGTGTGGAGCAGGACACCGATGATTCCGATGTCTGGTGGGGCGGAGCTGAGACGGACTACGGTGACAGGTGATAATTTCCATCCAGAGGAACGAGCACTGAGCCCCGTCTTTTATCCGCTTCCTTTCGGCTCCTCCCTGCCTCGCTCACTCCCTTTTGCCTCCTCTCAGCATGGTGCATGAGCCAGAGCCAGTGGAACAGCGAGAGGAAACCAAACCATCTGTGGTAGAAGAGGAGGATGACGGAGAAGTTCCAGAGGAGGATGATGAGGAGGAGGATGAAGACGAGGAGGAAGATCTGTTGGACAACGACCAGGATGGAGACGGAGAGGAGGACGAGGAGGCCGTGGAGGAGGATGAAGAAGAGGATGACATCATGGATACACTTGATGACAGCGATGATGCAGATGAGCCCACCACTAATGTTGCCATGACAACGACCACCACCACTACCACAGAGTCTGTCGAAGAAGTAGTGAGAGGTAAAGAGCTGTTTAGATTACTTTAGCAACATGACCATCTATTATCACAGCTTTCTTTAGACGTCTTGTTAAAATTTGACCTTAAGCAGCATAAATAATGATTGAAACCTTTTTTTATATTATTGGTGAAAATGAAACAAGTGATTGGGGTTTTATTTTTACATTCCTAAATAATAAAGTGTGTGTGTGTGTCCTCCAAGATGTGTGCTGGGCCAATGCTGAGACTGGCCCATGCCGGGCCATGCTGCCCCGCTGGTACTTTGACCGACAGGAGGGCCGCTGTGTTCAGTTTATCTACGGGGGCTGCGGAGGCAACAGGAATAACTTTGAGTCAGAGGAGTACTGCCTGGCTGTCTGCAGCAGCGTCAGTAAGTCCTGCCGACAGCAGCTAGCCTGAACCAGACGCTCAGACCTGTTTCTAACTTTGTCTCATCTGCTGGCTGCTCACAAAGTTTCCTCCCTGGTGTGTTTTGCTTACAGACATTTATTCCTGTTTAACAAATCGTTCCAACCTTTTCTTTCTTCTAAACTTTCCTCCCTCCCTTAAATGATACAAAGATGGATCGGGTTATTTTCTTTTTTCATCCAGCACATCGATGCACAGCTGTTACAGCAGTGGCTAAAACCATCAAACCATAGGAGCTATGGAATTAAATCACGAGTGGAAACAAAACATTTCAACCTCCTGATAAAATAATAGGCTTTTATTATGGAAAATTAGGGGTTGATTACGTTTCTCACCTGTAATCTGACACACAGATTTAAAGTTTAACAATAACAACAATAATACGGTAAATAAAGGCAACAATAACCTTTTTGTGTCATAATGCAGAACCGTAAACCCCTGACATTGGTTAGAGTTTTAGTCTTGTTTTACAGGAGACATTTATCTACCCAATCTTGCTGAAGTGCTGATAATCTAACAGATTATACAAACATCTCTTCTCCACAGATTTGACTCTGGGTAGGACATTTCAAAATGTGGATTGTCTATCTAAGAACACTGTTTTCCCCTCTTTCGCTTTTGTGAGAGATACCTGAAGGTTTTAGGACATATTGATGTTTTCAGTCCATTTGAAAATGAGGAGAGGTAGAAGCATAATAAAGTAGATATAGCTATCTCCTGCATCCCTCAGATGCAGAAGATAGCTTTTTTTTTTTCTTAACTACAGGCTGTTAAATCCTAAATGCATGTGTTTGTCTAAACATTTATTTTAGAATGATGAAAAGGGTCAGTTAGGTTGTTGTTACTGGTTTTTGGATATTTCCTTCTCTTAATTTTGAACCTTTGTAATTTAACTGCAAGTAATGACTTTGGCTGCAAATGTCATCAAGAAAAGCTAGATTTTTGCATTCCATCTCTCTAGCTAATGGCAGGAAGTAAAATCAGAAAGCTCAGCAACATTCTGGTTTATTCAAGCTGATTATTGCATCTTTGTAATTTTTTAATATCGGCCTCCTAGAGATTAGTTTTTCGTAATAAACTTTTGAGATGGAAAATGTATCCTTGGGATTTCATTTTGTGTTATTAATATTGCATAGGATTCTTCTGGAATTATATAGTTTTTTTTATATTCCATTGTTATAAGGTCTAGCTGTTTAATACATACCCTGTTTAAGACTGTTGATGGAGTTTGAATGTAGGCGAGGCTCATGGCAGCTCCAGAAGGACAAAGGATCAGACTGTGAGGTCAAAACGTGGACCTGTATGACTGTCATCAAGATTTTAAATAAAACTGCTCCGAAAAACAGGAAACAGACCAAATAATTCCTCGACAAACCTTATATCTCGATTTCCCAACTGCATTCTATTAACTTTAGATGTTTTGGTTTACTGTTGGTTCCAAACACTGAGCTGGATTTCATGTTAATATCCTGTGCTGAAGACAAGAGTATAGCTAAACCGCATCCTTATTTTAATGCGCAGAGACATAAGTGATGGTGTTAAAGAAGAGAAAAGCTAAAAAGGATGGATGGTTTCAGCGTTACGTGTAAAGGAGCTTTGTAATGGATCAAATTGTACAACAGCAGGCGCATATCACAGAATTTCCTCTAGTTTTCATTCGAAAGACTGGAGAAAACAAAAGGCTCTTTCCAGAATAAATCTTTAAATCCCAGAGTTAATGATTTACATCCTACAGCTCTGGGACTTCAGTCTCCATTCTTCCTATAGCGGCAGCTTTTACAGTGCACCTGTCTCCTGTATATTAGTTTAGCATCAATATGAGCTGTGAAATCACCCAGGCAGACATTATTTTTGCAATAACCCACGCTTCGCTGCACATCATCCTTTATGTCTTTGACATGTTGCAGACTGGGCTGGTGTTCCTCATCTCAGAGGATGTGTGCTCCGGTTTATTCATCCAGTCCACAGAATTCACATGTCAGATTATTCTGCTGCAATAGGGAAAGCCCATCAATGCTACATTAGATGCTCTCTTCCCCCTCCACATGTATGTTTATCAGTACAAATAGAGATGACTAATTAAAGATTTTTCTATTTTAATTGGTTAAACCATCTGAGGCTTCTGAGAACGCTGCATAGGTGTTGTTTCCTCCCCCAGATGGCAATTAGCTGGCATTAGCGGTGTTGGATTGGATGCGGTTTATATCTTCTCTGGTGGTATTGATTTACTGCACTTGGATTGCAATAAATAAACTGAGGCTGATCAGATGAGATGAAAGCTCTGTTCTAGAAAATAATTCACAAGGTCTGTCTCAGATAGGCTTTAGTTGGAGGCAAGAAGCAGAAGCTTTTTTTGTTAGCTTCTGATTGTGATGTGAATAGGTGTTTGCTTCAGCTCTAAACGTCTCCCATCACATTTTCACATCCGGGGTTGTTTTTTTCTTGTTTGCGTGTGTAAAGAGTCGGAGTCTGACCAGGACATCTGATTTCTAACTGCAGAGGGATGATGCTGAAGCACTGATGCTGTATTTGCATGTGCGATAAAACAGCTTTATTCTCTGGTGCATACGAAATCAACTTGTTTCAGAAGCGCATTTGGCTGCTAGTCCTTTTTTTGGGGTATTTGAAATCTTTTCTAATTCCTCTTTGCAAAGGTTCATAGCCGGAGATTTATAATTAGGTTTCATTATAAAGTGATTTATAATACCGGTTATACTGTGGTTTTCTTTTACTACCCTTCCTGTAGTTAGACTTAGACAAACTTTATTGTCATTTTGTGTGCACAGAGTGGATACAAAATGAAATTCCGTTGCATACAGATTACAACAGTGAAATGAACATTACTGTTTATAGGTAATATAAGTGCAGCAGTGATACGACTCTAAATCGTGTAGGAGAAAAGAAACCAGTTTAGAAATAATGGTGTAAAAGGGCAATAATATGAAAAGTTTCATTGCAGTGCAACTTGAATGTGGTGCAAAATGCAGTAGGCAATGAGTTTAGTCATATTTAAAAATATTATAAATGTTCAGCTGGTTGGTAGTGCAAAATAATGTAAGTGTGATGCAGAGTCCAGTTTAGAGTTCAACAGTATAACAGTTTGATGGCAGTGGGGAAAGAGCTGTTGCAGAACCTGCTGGTCCTGCAGCGGATGCTGCGAAACTTCTTCCCAGAGGGCAGCAGGGAGAGCAGTCCATGGTGGGGGTGTGAGGGGTCATTGATGATGTTACGGGCTCCAGACACACAACGCTCGGATGAAATGTCCTTAATGGAGGGAAGAGGAGCCCTGATGATTCTCTCTGCTCTGGTTAAAGAAATGAATCCCCCAGCATGATGCTGCCACCATCATCATGACACCGTTGGATGAATAACTCTCCCTAAACTAACCTCCACTGCCTTCATGTTGCTACAGAACAGATTCCTCCTGGTGAAATGTGTGAATATTTTGGGGCTTTTTGCCTTCTGATGGACATCAAAAATAGCTCCTTTAACTTCCCCCTTTAGAGTCGGCCTTTTCGAAGTTTGCCGTTATTAATAAATCATTTTCTGTTGCCCTGTTTGAGCTGTTGTCTCGACAACGCAACACTTTTTTTTTTATATGCTTTTTTTATTCAAGCGACAAGAAACACATTCTTCTGTTGGAAACGATGGGAGTTGGACAGAAGCCGGTTTCGGCCCCATTCTGCCCCCAAAAGAGATTTTACGGCTGATTAGAAGAAACATATTAAGGAACAAAGTCTGACCAGATGCTTTCCTTCCAACTGAAACCAAGAAAGCACTGCTCTCACTGCTCGGGTCAGTGAGTCACATCTCTCTGGTATTTTTTTTTTTCTGGTCTGTGCAGTCATGCGCTCGTTAGACGTGACCAATTTCACATGATGTGCGACCTTCACGCCTGCACTTGCACGCCGATTGAGAATGCGCATCTGATAGATGATCAGCTTTTCTCTGATTAAACTTTAACGCTTTAACTCGTCCAATTTACTCCTCGCGTCTGGGCAGGCCGGATGATTTCCTGCGTTGGGAGTGATTGCAGCAAAGTGCCAGCATACTCTGGATGAAGTTATATAATTAAGGGAGATGTTTTGTCTCTTTCCTGCAATGCATTATGGGTGATCTAATGTATTTATCCACCGTTTAAAGGTCCTGGCTTTAAGCTGCAGCTGCTATCTTTTTTTTTCCTCTTTCTTTCTGCTCACGCTAAGCTTATTAACCCCTTTTTGGATGTCTGTATTTGTAAGGCAACACTGCCAATCCCATTACCCAAGCTCTCTGAAACATCGTCTCACCGCCAGGGTTTCTTCTTCTCTCTCTTTCGATGTGTGTTGCAGTGCCCACGGCCACGCCCAGCTCCCCCGATGCAGTGGACCACTATCTAGAGATGCCCGCCGATGAGAATGAACATGCCCACTTCCAGAAAGCCAAGGAGAGTCTGGAGGCCAAGCACCGTGATAGGATGTCCCAGGTACTGGAAGGGGTCAATTAATGGCTCAATTTGTCTTTGATGCTACATCAAGAGTAACTGTTGCTTATGAAATAGAGAGTAAAAAGGTTAAAGAAAATAATCTAAACGATTTGTTTAAAAAATGCTCCCAGGTGAACCGACTGAGGCATTTCTACTTAATTGCCTTTTCCCTTCAACCGTCTCGCTGTCAGACGGAGATCCAGATGGTCCACTTCAACCTCCGTTTGTAAAACTTCACACAAGAACAGCTATAACCTTTTTATAGCTCTAGTTAATTCTGCTTATTGTGAGAGAGGAGCCTCTGGCGCAGCGCTTTCTCTCTTAGCTGAGGATTTGCTTTGGGAAAGTGAAGCAAAAGAGTCCAGGCAGTGAGTCAGATGTAGGGAATACGGAGGAAGAATCTGAAAACACTTCTGTAGAGAGATCGACTCGTTGATCCATCATTAACTCCTTCCTTTCCTTAGGGTTCTTTTGATTTTTAAGGATTTCAAATTTATAGGCTAAAAAAATTCTCCAATTTGTTTATTAAACCCTGTTAACTTTACCTTGATCAGGCTTTCAAAAAGCCTTATGGGGACTGAAAAGGAAGCAAATGACCAGATTAAATAAATGTTTTTCCTTCCTGTGTTTGTTTTCAGGTTATGAGGGAATGGGAAGAAGCTGAGAGGGAGGCTAAGAACCTTCCACGTGCCGACAAGAAGGCTGTGATTCAAGTAGGACCATTGGAAACAAAGCTAACCCCTCACATACCTGGTTTTAGTTTAGTGCTGATTTCTTTCAATGGGATTTGGTGTCTTTGCGCAGCGCTTCCAGGAGAAGGTGGAGGCTCTAGAGCAGGAGGCAACCAGTGAGCGTCAGCAGCTGGTGGAGACCCATATGGCCCGGGTGGAGGCTCTCCTCAACGACCGCCGCCGCCTGGCTTTGGAGAGCTACCTGACCGCCCTGCAGCAGGACCCACCCAGGGTAAGCAGCACCGCTCGCCGTACGCAAACGCTTCAGATCAAAACGTTCCTTTTGGTGTTTTGTTCAGTTTGAAGACTCCGCTGCGTGAATAATTCCCATGCATCCGTCCTCTCATTGTCTTTTACAGCCCCGTCACGTCTTCAGTCTGCTGAAGAAGTACGTCCGCGCCGAGCAGAAGGACAGGCAGCACACTCTGAAACACTTCGAACACGTCCGCATGGTGGATCCAAAGAAGGCTGCTCAGATTAGACCTCAGGTGCGTTTGCTGCCGTCTGAAATGCAGAACTCCCTACTCATGTCTTCAGTTTCCAACAATCTGTTTCTACGTCGGTGCTTTAGGTTCTTACTCACCTGCGCGTCATTGAAGAACGCATGAACCAGTCTCTGGGTCTTCTCTACAAAGTGCCAGGTGTGGCTGATGACATCCAAGACCAAGTTGGTAGGTTTCACAGCCAGGAAAGCTTCCCCACAGCATGACTCTGCCGCTGCCATGCTGCTACACCCAAGTAAAATATGCTGAAGTTTAAACTTTTTGTTTTAAGGCATTGCTAAATCTAGACAGAAATAAAACGCAAATTTAGGGGGATTTGGCTGCTTCAGCAGAAATCCAACCCTTATCTTTGAGCTTTGGATATTATCTCTCATACTCTTTGTTAGTGCTGACCTAAATGTGGGCGGATACTGTGAAAAGCTCAATGCCTTGATTGTGTTATGCGTAACGGAGATTAAATGCTGAGTTCCAGGCCCCAGTAAATATTATTATTTTTTTTTTTATAACTCTCCGTTCTGATAAGGCCGTTTGGCCTAATTCTTCTATTCAGGCTCAAATGAAACTGTTCGCTGAGAAGATAAATCCTCTTTCCTCCCTCTGCCCACTGAACTTGCAAGGTTTCTGTGGACTTCTGGGTTTATCTGCGTCGCGCGCGTCATTCGGCCATCTGCGGGTCTGTCTCAGAGGCTGTCGCTCTCTGTGCTGCCCAGCACAACTCAAATCAAAAATAAGTGCTATCTCAGAGTCATGCGTGTTAATAAAAGGCGAACATTTGTGTCAGTAGGTTGCAAACGATGACAAATTTGTCTTTCATTCAAGTGACTTGAATTACTGCTGTAACGTTGCAGAGCTCCTCCAGAGAGAGCAGGCCGAGATGGCCCAGCAGCTGGCCAACCTGCAGACAGACGCCCGTGTGAGCTACGGTAACGACGCCCTGATGCCCGACCAGGAATTTGGAGACGGCCAGACTGACCTGCTGCCCCAGGAGGACACTCTGGGCCTGGGAGGAGTCGGCTTCGTCCACCCCGAGAGCTTCAACCAGCAGAACATCGAGAAAGAGGGTGATTACAGAAAAGTGCTGTTTAAAACAATGCTATGTGTGTCATTAAATCCATAAAAAAAGCGGAGCATTTCGATGTTACACCTGCTCGATGGTTGCAAGGTTATATAGAAAAACATTAAAGTAATGGGAGAAAAGAGTCCAATTTGTCGCTCGATTTGCAACCAGTGAACAGCAGCAACATATTATTGTTCATCTTGCTTCCTAGGAAATCCAAATTCCTGAAACTCCCATAATCCATTTGTTCTCACCAAGCAATCTAAAAGTTGCTTTAACCATGTGTGCACTTTCTCCTGAAGACTCATATTTGTGTGAGAAATGTAGTTGAAAATATACATTCTAAGTTAAATATATCTATGCAGAATGTCAGATAGTATAGCCTTGGATTTGTTTTTCCCAAATATATAGATGTGATTTCCTGTCTAAAAACAAAAATTAGTTTAATTATAGATTTAAATTCATACCTGCTAGTCCATCAGGAAAAGGAGCAGCTGCATTTCTTAATAATCCACCTTTGAAAAGGTTAACCTGCTTTTATGAGTGAATGTTACACTGTTCGTAGCTAAACTTATGTGTTTCAGGCTGTAATAGATAGTGTTTTTCTTATGCTAGTGCCTGGAATGAAGATGGAAGCTATTCCTGAGCTGCGGAAGGAGACGGAGGACACACAGGGTACCCAATATGAAGTTCACCACCAGAAGCTGGTAAACACCGACGCTCCTCCTCATGCCGAACAGATTTATTCTTGACCCGGACTTTCTAGCATGTTAATTAGCATGAATCCTACCGTTCTCCACGTTGTCCTCCAGGTAAACTCTCAAGGTTGTCGCCATGGAGACGAGTTGGTGCTCATACAGCCAGCCGGAATAATGCATGCGTCACAGTCTTTATCAGTGAAGTTTGATGGTGTCTGCAGCTGCTGTTTTGCCAAAGATTATAGAATCGTTTCTGCTCTCCATCTGTAATCTCCTGCAGCGTTTTAATACCAGCCCATTCTCCGCCAAATCCACGTACTTTACTCACCTTAAGACTGTAATCCTATAATCCTGCCTTGTTATTATCACATTTCCTGCATGCACCAGGAGCAACCAGAGGGAAGTCACAGCTCATTAGTTTATCTGCTGTTTTTTGGTTTCTATTAGATTTTCTCATCATGCTGTCTGTTCCTCTACATTGTGTCATCTTCCTTCCTTAAGAAAGGCAGAGAAAAACAGCAATTTCTTCTCTTTTTGTTGTTTGGTAAATGTATGTGTATGTTCTGCATCGCCGCTTCCTTACGTTGCACCCAGCCTGGGGTAAATCATCCAGCCGCTACAGGAGGGGAATGAATATTATCTATGAAAGTAATATCTTCACCATCTTCTATATAAAGTTCTCCAGCTCATTCTCAAATTTCACTCCCCGTTTTAGAAAACATGACGACAAACATGGAGCCTGCTTGGTTCATTTCACTCTCATCTTATGTTTTGACCTAACCACCATCTGTCCTTTAACTCCCGCAGGTCTTCTTAGCCGAGGACGTCAGCTCCAACAAGGGCGCCATCATCGGCCTTATGGTCGGAGGCGTCGTCATAGCAACGGTGATTGTCATCACCCTGGTGATGCTGAGGAAGAAGCAGTACACCTCCATCCATCACGGAGTCATTGAGGTGAGAGAAGTAGAACAAATTTGTTAAAAGAAAAAGTGGGCTTCTCCTGCTACAAGGTAGCAATTTTTTAGCGGTAATGTGAATTACATAGCTGTACTGTTATACAGAATGTTGAATCCAGTATTATACTGACATTTAATAACAAATAAATAAAAAAATAAAAAAGATGGCTGCTGTAAGACAGTGGAAAATTGATCCCTGGTTTTATGTATTAATTTTTAGTAATTAATATATAGAATAAATGGATGATTTGGAAGCATTTAAACATGCTTTGTATTTGCTGTATTCTGTATATGAATGATGATGCACATGTATAAGCCGGCCCTATTAGCAGTGGATGTAATTTGTGTTAGTAATAGAAAATCAAACCAAATGTAGAAATGACAACAATAATGTAGAATACTACCATTAGCCACATTTTCATAGCTGCCGTTTCCCCTGAACACAGCGGTTGTGTACGACTTTATGATCTCCGATCCCATTTTTTTCCCCATGTCACATTGAATGCGTAGAGGGAGGTTTACGACTAAGCAGGGCTGGCAGATCTGCACAGTTTTTTTTTTTTTAACTTCTGTCTGTCTGCTATACACAATATAAAACAATTTCCCGCATTTGACTTGGACAGATTATGAAAGCACTTAATGAGTCTGTGCAGCATCTCAAACCAGATCAGATGGAGAATGTTCATATGCCTGTATTAAAAACATAATTAGATCTACATCTAGAAAAAAGGAAAACACAGAAATGAATGCAGCGGCACAAGTTTATATGCTGACTGAAGCAGAGAGGTGATTCCAAGACAGAGATCTGTGACGTTTATCGAAATTTTTCTTTCGTTTTTTAATACAGAGTTGAAACGCTTACCTGCTGTCTGCCCCTTATTATTTTGTTTTGTGACTCAAAGAGGATCGCTATTTTTTCATGTTTTTTTCCCTTTTTCTAGGCTCAAAGAGAATATGAGTTCAGTAGGACGGAAAATGGATAAAGTATTATTTAATGTTTAATTCATTGTTTTTGCACAATGTGCAATCTCCAAAACTGAGTCTTTCCCTGTGTTATTAACACTTTTTTTTTTTTTTTTTTTTTTTTTTTCCCCAAAGCAGATGTTTTACTTTGTAACAGCGTCTCTCTTGCTGTCAGACTCGTGAAATTACCGCTGAGTTGGTGCAAAGTCCGACTAAAATAGACCTGGGGTCTATCTCAGTTGACTTTCAATTAGCGCCAAACACCACAAACTCATGATTTTCAGTCGGATCGGATGCAAAACGGGATTCGTTGTGTTTTGGCCTTAACCTTACCATTATGTATAAAACGTGTAATCAAACGCTTCCAGGTCCCCAAATATGCTCCTGGGAATCAGAGTGTTAATTCAAAACCTTTGAGATACTAAATCCTATGGAATATGGCATTCAAGATGGCCTCAGGTGTTGTGATTTACTGTTTATTTCTACTTAAAGGTTACGACTGATTGAAAATCAGGATTCTTATTTTGCATTTCTGGGTAAGGGTGGAAAAATTCTTAATTTTGTGTAAAAAGGTTTGTAAAAAGAATTTAACAGAAGCTGCCACTGAATGATCTAGATTTAGAGATCCTTATCCGAACAATACTTTTCCATATTATAGATTTAATTATGTAGTTTTGTCCAGATAATAATAAAAAAACAAACAAACAACGACTGAGTCACCAAATATAAAGTTTGAAAAGGAAACTTGTTGGAGCTCAAATTAAAATCAGCGGATTATTGCCTCTCAAGCATTTAATTTGCTGCTTTCATATTTTGAATTAGCTCCATTTATCAGCTATGAAAGTCCATTAGCAGGAAGATTAAAACATGATTCAGTCTCCTTTGTTTTCATTCATTTGTCTTCAGAATCAGCCTCTTAATTTCCAGAATGTGTTCTTTTTTTTTCTCCGTTTCTCCATATGGACCTCCACCACAGGAGTGTTTTTGTCCGTACATGTCTAACCTCCCCCCCTCCCTCATTTCCAGGTGGACGCCGCAGTCACTCCTGAGGAGCGCCACCTGTCCAAGATGCAGCAGAACGGCTACGAGAACCCCACCTACAAGTTCTTTGAACAGATGCAGAACTGAGGAGAAAATCACCTTCCACACACTCGCATCAACACACCATAATCCCCCCCCCCCCCCCCCCCCTTTACATCTATCCTTCCTCCTTTATTTTCCTCCCCTCAGCCAGCCTCCCCATGTCTCCATGACGCAGCGATCACTGAGCGACTGGGATAGTAGTTTCCTGACCCTTTTTTTTTATGAAAGAAAACAGCTAACCGTTGTTCTTAAGGGAGGAAGAAAAGCACACTGTCCACTCTGATCAGCAGCAGGGTAACTTGACCCTCCCCTCATCCACACAATTCTGACAAATCCGATCATATTGTAATCATCTGTTTCAATTCTGCAAATAAGGTGGTAATGATAAAGTTTAAACGCTGCCCTCCCCCTACAATCTACAATGGTGAACCAGTGAGTGTCTCCTCCCCTCTCTGTCTCCTCCCTCCCTCCATCCATCCTCCCTTTCATACAACAGCTGGGCTGTGTTGGGCCACATCAGGCTCTTAAGGACATCGCGAAAGAAGCTGGCGATAACGATCATTTTGACAGCAGCAGTAGTCGTTATGTGTTCTTAAGGAGCTGTTTTATTTTTATTGATTCCACTTTTTTTCTTTTTTTTTTCAAAAAAGATTGAAAACTGTATAAAAAAAAAGTAAACTGATGTAAAGTCGTTTTTTGTTTTTTTTATTGCGTGTAATGTTGCTGAAGTAATGCTGAAGTCTTAGCTGTTCCTTATGTAGTGTGCATGATGACAGGATTTGGAGAAAACAAACAAAAAAAAATGAAGAGGATCTTAAACGCTGCTCTCTATCTCCAGAGGTCCTTCCTCACACATTGATTGTCATCCTAGCGAGATTGTACATTTAGCATCCAACCGTGATCACGTGACATCAAACAAGAATGAAAAAATATATTTAGAAATCTAGATGATCGGCCTTGATCTCATGTAAAAAAATGTTATTTTTTTCTTTCCTCTTTAAGTTGCTCCACCTCTTCCTGATTGAAGGAGATATTTAATGTTCATCCCTGTTAAAAACTCTCATGTGTGGCGGCGTTCTGAAGACGCTCCTTATCACAGACTGATTTCTGGTTATATGGATGCTTTGAGCAGCAGGTTAGGGTTGTTTCCATGTCTCTGTGTTGCAGGGTTCCTACACAGTTTGGAAAAAAAAAAATGGCTGAATACCAAACCGCCCTCCCTAAGCACTAACCCTTAACTATCAAGTGTCCCTATTAAGTCTCACTCACAGATGAGGAAGGCACCTTGATTGAAGATCGTCTTATAAATGAGAAAGGGGCCGCTTCTTCTTCCCTCCAACGGGAAGGGAAAACAGTCGTTGCTATGGCAACACAGGGACGCCCCATTTGCCCATCTTTTAAAACAAATGTATACAGTGAAATAAAACTATTTCAAAGAGGACCTTCCGTTTTGGAATAAATTACGTTTTTTTTCATGTAACTTGAGATTTTCTTTCAGTGTGACGAAGGTGCAGCAAACCAGTGGAACTTGCATTTGGAGGAAACATGTTACCTTCGCCATTAGGTCGCCCTTACGAACGCTGTCAAATTCCAGCAAGCCTGCACTGATGCAGACTCGCTATTTAAGGGTTCGGTACGGTCTTGAATGTGCTGCACCCTATGTATGAACACGCAAAAGGAAGGTTAGTGTTTAGGGTTAGTGTTTAGGAGCCGGTTTGGGATTGGGCTAACGTGTCCCTCAATCCTGCTTTCTTTCCCTCTGTTTTCTTTGTTGTTGTTTTTTTGCAGAGTACATTTGTCAAGCCTGCACTCTTTAACATTTTTCACATGTTTATGTTGATATTTTTATGCTTGCATCTGGAAAGCTACATCTGGAGAAAATTCTGGAACTTAGACCTAAAAAATGTGGAGGAACCCTGATGTTACCTTTCAATCACGTGTTTGTCCACCTATAAGCCAATGCTGTCTCATAGATTTGCTTTAAGAGTGCTAAGAGGAGGAGGAGGGGGAGGCAGAGGAAATGACTTGCAGTTCCAGATGGATAACCAGCCAGCCAGGCAGTCTGTGTATATAATGGATTCTCACTTCCCGCTGCACCTCCCCTCCCTTCCTCGCCTTTCCTTTCCTCCAGGCGTGCTGCTCACCTCTCTGACATAGAGATATAAGGGCGTTTACCATCAAGAAGTGACTGTAGGATGGAGGAGACTGTAAAGGCAGGAAGAAAATACAAAAAAAAAATCAACACTTGTAAAGAGCTACAGTGGAAACTCTCACTTGTATAGATCTGATGAATGAAATACTGGGTGAAATGTATATTTTAGAGATACAGTTGGATGAGTTTGTGGTTTCAGGGGGTTCTCAGTAGAATAGAAGATGGATTTTTTTTTCTTTCTGTGGGGTATATATTTTCTTTTCCACCGTGTAATATTGTGCAGGCCATTTGCATCGACTGGGACAATGCTTTCTACACTGTATTCCATAATAAAGTTTTGAATGTACATAAAAACAGTCTTTTTTTATTTTCTCATGTGAAGCTGAAGTTATATCGCCTGCAGCTACAGATTTCAGTGAGATGGACCAAAAGAGAGCAGCTAGTCTAGAAATAGAGATCTATACACAAAAAGGGCATCTATTTTTCCTTTTTAATGATCTTTATAAACCCAGATCCGTTTAGTGCCTTCAGAAGATCCCTGATCTGTAATTGGTTACTTTTTTTTGAATGCGTGCTCATCACCTTATTCTAGTTCCATCTCTTCAGCTCTTCCTTAATGGCTGTCAGGTAAGGATGTACCTGAGGTGAAAAACAGCTGTTGGTCAAAAGTGGGAGGGTTTGTGCATGTTTGACTATTGAGAATTTAAAGTAAAATATTGAAATTGATGTTCACAGATTACTGAGATGATATTTTTTATAAATCCTATTATATGAGATTATGAGGTTATGACATTTAAAAAGGGTAAAAACATCCTGTAATTAGGATTTATCCTTTTATTTTACCAACACTGTTGCGATATTTAGAGGAGCAACGAGGTATTATAACTGTCTCTTTGGACAAACACACCTTGAATTCAGCTCTCATCTGTAGGATTAAAAGAATTGGAGCCAGAAAGCAAAGCTGCAACAAAATCAAGGTTATAATACGTAATTATAGAATAAAATATTGTCCCAGAGGGGAAAATCCAGGTGTTACACTGGCAAAAAACAATCGGAACAGAAAATGATTTAAGATGAGCAGCATGAGGAAAACAATCTGTCCAATTATTAATAAAACGATCATAAAAATCCAGTTTATTGAAATATATTTTAATTATAGCTTGGTTACACCTTTAGAGCAACGTAATTTGTGAGAACTAAACGCTGCCAGTAGGGGGCAGTATTGCCTTTTATTAAAAACCTTTTTATTTCCCACAATCCACCGCGGTCTTCCACATTTGAGCTCTGAGTGTCAAGCCCAAGGTGAGTTAGACTTTAAATGATCAAACTATCATTAACATACACGCCGTTTCACGCTCTTTTTGGCTTGTTTTGTGTCCTGGTCGCGTGCATTTAATTAGAACCGCGGGATTACTCACAGTTTTACATCAAATAACGAATTTAAAGGGAATGTTTGATAGCTATGAGGTGTTCGGCTTAGCTCCTTTAGCTAAGCTTAATCAGTTAGCTGCTGGAATATGGCCGTTAGGATGAGTTAAACGATTCAACCTAAATGCAGACGAGTCTTAATAGCTTCACTGATATTTTAGGTTGAGTTTTAAGGACCGTTTAATGTAATTCTGGTCACAACGTTTGGACTTATCTGGGCTAGCTGTTGCTAAAGCTGAAGCTAGTTGCTAAGGCAGAAGCTAGCTTAAAGCTAGCTGCAACTACTTTGATATTAGTTCATCTGCGCACCTTTACCCTTTGTCTTTTGTTTAAAAAATTTGGAAACAGTTTTTTCTTTTTTTTTAAGATAAAGAGGTTTTAAGGTAGGAATGTAAAGGTCCGCAGCGTTTAAAAATGAAGTTTTGTTGTCATGAAGCAGGCACAGTAAGGTCACCCTGTGTTCTAAAGCTGTGTTTTTCACACCTGCTTCAAGACACCTGATTTAGATGATTACAGTTCATAAACACCTGTTAATCTTCCATCAATTAACCTTATTTACCTTTGTAACATAAAAAATATGGATATTTTGATGGCAAAATTAATGTCAATGTAATAACAAACACCAACTTGCCCAAATATGAAGAAAATAAAAGTGCTTCTATAAGAAATTCATGAAAAACACTACTGAGATTAAAAATAACACATTTTTTTTGCTACAACATATTAGAGGCATTAATACTGATACTGGCACTTACATCTTTTTAGTTTATCAACCTAAATATAATTGTGAACTAGACTTATAAACTTTTTAACTTTACTTATTAATTAGCTTTTTACCTTTTTTTTCTTGACTTTTCTTTTCAACTTAATTTACAGTATGTAAGATATATAGATAAGGGCTCATCTAATTGGTCAAATGTCAAAATTAGATGTACAGCCATGTAGCGGTATCTTTGCGGATTGGCTGATGTAGATCTTTTGCTTCTAGGCCTCACTGAGGGAAGGGGGGGTTCCATTCGTAAGGGATCATAAACCATAACTTGCCCAATAAAGGGTTTATATCGATATTGTGAAACATTTGGAAACATCCTAGACTTGCAGAGCCTTAAAGTTTTAAATTAAAGCATAGATTCTCAAAGTTAGGCTCATGACCCAATTTGAGTCCGTTGATCAACCATTATGGGGTATTGCTTCAACACAGAAATTAAACCAATCAATAAATATTCATGTGAAAGTGTTTAATTATAAAAAGCACCACTTAAAATGGACAAATCGAACTAATTGTACCCTGTAATATTTCTCCTGTGGAAAATTGAATGTTGTGAGTCAGAAACTGAAACGTTTCCTTTTGATATTAGGAGGAAGTTTACTGACACTCATTGCCATGCCAACTAACATATATGCTGTATAATACAGATGTAGAATCCTGCCCCTCCACCACCTGTTGCTTGAAGCTGACAGTCAGCTGGCTTAAGGGCACCTTCAAAACCTTTCATTACTTCAGTGGTGCTTTATATTTATTATATTTACATTTTCTAGTTGCTGAAAGATCTGTCATCCTTAGCCTGCAAGGCATCTGCAGGCTATACTTCTGCTAATGTCAGCTTGTTTATATTCATTTACGCTCTAAAAAAAATAGAATATAATTTTCTTAAGAGAATTTGAAAATCTCTACCCAATTTAACAGTTTGGGGAAAAAAACATATTTTTTAAATGTTATTTCCTTTATTAGAATCACAGTTAATGTGATGCTATTATTTTACCTTTGGAAAAATTAGTTTTAAGTCTAGCAGCTGTGTGACTTTGGTTTCTCTCTAGAATAAAAATAGATGGATTAGCTCACACTTTTTTGCTCTCGTTTTTGTTCAATCACATAATTTTCTAATATTGTTCTTGCCTAGTTTTATATCAGGATAGGTCTGCTCCACGTTAGGGAAGAATGCTACTGCAGTTTTATTGTTAAACTGCTGTATTTGTAGCTTCATACTCCTTTCTTGCCTTATGTCCTTGTCATCGCTTTAATTTTTAAGGTTAATTGTTGCAGTCCCACTCATGCTTTATATTTGCATCCAAACAATTGCATTATTTTTTTTTTATTCTGTTTTGCTTCTTTTAATTTTCACAATTTAGGAAAACTCCAAATGTTTAATAGCAATATTTTTTCTTTAATTTTGAATGAAATGGCTCTACATAATGGGGAGCGACCTGCTGAAAAATAACTTTGTTTTAGGGTATATTAAAGGTACTTGAACTTAAGATGCTAATCCAGCAAGTTGTTCCATACTGATATGACAATATTCAGCAGCTTTTGCAACTTTTTAACCTATGAGGTGAATTTCCTTTTCTACTGCATCCTTACAGGTCTCATTTAGACTGAGTAGTGGTCACCTTTAAAAGCCAGTGGTTCACAGCAAATTCATTGTCACGTTTAAGATGTCAGTTAAAATTATTGGATATTTCCTGTAAACCTATTTGGTTATTCTATTATAAGCATCCTAGAGAGATGGATCCACTGTGATATTGAAAGAAAACTGTTTTTATTAAAGTAATGAAATCTTGTTTTTGGTCTAAATAATTTCCGTAAGGTTTTTTTATTTCAAATATTTATGAGCTAAAACTCAAGTATGTGCTTATTTATTCATTAAAGGACTTGAATAGAGAACGACAGCATGAGATAGATAACTTGTACTTATGGATCCAACATTTGTTTTTTAGGAAAATATTTATTTGTACTCTAGATTCTTTGCTTCATGTTGTTTCTCGACTGCTTTGTCTTCAGTGCATCTTTGCTTTTCTCTCCTTACCTTCATCCTACTCTTCTCAAGCACATAATTGATGATGGGAACAGCTACATCTTAGATCTACAACACATTAGCTTTTATAACTGGTTTTCATGAAGGTTCGACTATCAGGGCATGCTCTTAAAATATTAAAAATAAAACATTGCATATGTTTGACCTGTTTCACCTTCAGCAATTAACAGGATTTGAAAAAGATTTTCAACAGCTGTTATATAAACAAGTGGTTAATAGCAAAGATTAGATGTTTGTTTCATTGCATGTTGATACAGCGGGCTTCAAACAAGCTCAAGGAAGGTTTATTTTTATAGCACAATTCAGTATAAGGACATTTTAAAGTGCTTTACATGAAAATAGAAGAAAAATAAAACGATGAAAGCAGATGGTAAAACAAAATGGTTGGACCACAACAATAAACCATTAATGCATAACAGTCAAAGGCAGCTTTAAACATGTTTTTAACTTTGAGGTCTATTGTGGTGAGCATCTTCCATCCTTCAGATGGGATTATATCCCAGCGCTTTTCATTTGTTCATAGCAGATTAAAATCATCATGTCTGCAGGATATTATGGGGATGAACTAAAAAAAAAAAACTGAATGGTTTGAAAGCTGTCTATAGGTCAGATATAAGGCACTGTAAGTCATGATAGAAGCGGGGGACAGATGGGTGATTGAAAACTATTCCAGGAAAAGGCCCCTTCTTGGTCGTCTTTACGGCGAGAATCATTGATTGTGGTTTGAATCGTGTTGAAATGGCTCTAAGTGTTTTAGCCTCTGCTTGTCCCTCCAGATGTCGCTCCACCGGTTGTTCCAGCTCTCCTCCGTGCTGCGCTCCGCGCTGAGCCTCACGCTGCGCCGGAACATCGGCATCTCTGCGGTGGTCTTCAACAAGGCCAAGGAGCTCGACCCCGTGCAGAAGCTGTTCCTGGATAAGATCAGAGACTACAACAGCAAGAGCAAGTCAGTCTTTCTTCTTCTCCCCTGACATTTAGTAGAGAGATTTCGAGCTAAAACGTTCACTTGTAGCATGATTGTGCAGCTTTATTTGCTGGCTGCTTTTCTAACGGCACGCCGTCCACCATATCTGTTCCTCGGGTCTCCCAGGGCTGCTGGAGGCATCGTGGATGCAGGTCCTGCTTACCAGAAGAACATGTCCGACGAGGTCGCCAAGCTGCAGAGGCTATACGGAGGAGGAGACCTCACCAAGTTCCCAGACTTCAAATTCCCCGGTCAGTTTGTTTTTTTTATTCTTTAGATCACGTAATGTACAGTTTATAGAGCAATCAGATAATCTAGGAGGTCAGTGTCTTCCTGAAGGACAGAGCAACCCAGACAGTGTGGCGTAGCTCCCAGTTATTTATGTAACGGCCAAAGTATGAAAGTTTAAGTGAACCTTCCTTCCTCACGCAGCCTTGATTTATCCCTCTGATTAAGTAAAGTGCTTTATTGTGTCCCTAGAGGGCAAAATGGAGAAGCCAGCAGTTTATTTCTACAATTAATTTCAGCTAATAAAAATGGCTGCAGCCTCGGAGTGATGTTGGAACGTGAGATTATTTTGATACTTTTTTTTTTTTCTCCCCATGAATATTTATGCCTCTGAATAGATGTCATTCTCTTCTTTGTGCGTGTCTAAAAATAGAAAAGATGGTGACAGTTAGAAAGGAAGATGAGGATGATGGGGGATTTTTTTTTTTTTTCCCTTTCAGCTTCAGGCCTACATTGTTTTCTATAATAAATGTCGACAGTTTGTAGTGTTTAACTCCTTTTCTTTTTTTTATGACCCTACAGAGCCAAAACTTGACGAAGGCGCCAAGTGAAGGACGTGCATGTTGCAGATCTCCTACATGTCAGAAATATGTTGTATTTAATAAAAGCGTGGAGTGAAAGATGAGGATCTGGATGTTATTTTCCTTGGATTTTGACACACTGTGCTTTGACTCAATTGCTTCAAGCAGACAGGTGGAAAATTTGTAAACCTTTGTTTTAAATAAAGCACAATCATTAATAATTTTGCAAAAGTCTAACAAAATTATTTAATCATTTAGTTGATCAATTAGATGTTTAAATCATAAATGGATGTGACTAATCGAAACAAAGCTTTTTCTCAATTAAATATATATTTTTGGTTTGCTACCCAGCTAAGCCCCTAGCAGATCGGATAGTCTGAGTATGGGCTTTGACTAGACCTTTCAAATTCATTAATTTCCCCTGATTTGAATCATTTAAAGGTTCTATATCATCCTTGATAACATTAATGTATTACTCTTCTTTAGGAAGGCTGAACAAGTACAGATATTTTGCAGCCAAAATATTTTAAGGTTAAAGACATTAGCTAAAACAGTTGCTGTCACTGTGCAGATTGGCTGCTAAAAGAGCTGCTTTGTCTCAACTTGCAGCTGCAATAATTGCGATCAGAAATGCATGAATTGGATAAAATACCACTTGTTAAAGGACTTATTGCATAAGTAAAAGCTCAATTTATTTTGCATGACGTAGGCTCTATATTTAGCTCTATTGAAATAGATTTTCTCCACCTTTTTAGATGTTTTCTAGCATCTCAGTCAAGTCAATGAAGGAAAAGTTGAATATTTCTCCACATCTTTATATAACCTGTCTCAGGTTTTACTGAAGAGCTGAATAAACGACATACAGGTGGACTCTGAGGACATCCGTTGTGTTTGTTTATAAAGGGGTGTCGGAGTAAAGATGCTAAATATAGAGAGCTATATTTAGCACCATTATGCTTCACTGTTTATCGTTTAAAATCTCAGCTTTTTTTTTTTTAACGGGGTAGAATGAAAAAGGGAAAATTACAGGGGTATGAATACTTTGAAAAATGCTTTTAATGGTAAAATCAGAAATAAAACTTGAGCCTCATTTTTGATTTTCAAGTATAATTTCTCCTTTAAATAGATTTAGAAGAAAAAAGCACACAGCCTTGGTTTATGGTCAAACGTTCAAAACTAAAACTGGCTGAATTTACAGTGAGCCAAATGTCTGGTGACCTAGATAGAAATTGGCTGTCACTCTGAATTAGTCTTGAGAGTGCCACATTATGACAAGGTCAGAGATGCATTTAAGTCTCTCCAGGATGACTGTTTGAAGCTTAAAATAGCTGCGGAAATGCTGTTTTTTATTTGACCCAGTGCTTACATTTTTAGTATTGTGCAGCCATGCTTTGAGACTGATATGTGGAAGCTGAATCCAGAAGTACGAGCAGGTCCAGGACGTATTTAACCAAAGCGATCCCTGCGAGTAGAATCTCGTAAAAGATGAAGTTGTAGTTGTGCTTTCTGAGCAGCCGCTCTTTATATTTTACTTCGCTTCCTGAAGAAAAAGTGATCTTGTCAGAAATATTTAATAGAAAAAAACTTTATTGATCCACCATTCAAATAAAACTCTCAAGTCATCCACTTGCATTCAATAAACAGTGGCACAAGAATATATAAAGACAGAAAAGTAAGGCAAGTCTGTTTACAAAACAGTGTGATCCCGAGATAGATATGACAGTCAAATTAAAAAGGCACAAGGTATACTGTAGATAGATGTTTACATTTATAAAAGAAGACCATGCAGGCACATCAGGATGGAACGGGGTTGGATTCAAGTTCAATGAGTTGGATTCTTCCTCCTGTTATTACTGGGCAGGGCGGGGGGGTTGACTGTTAGGGCCTGAGACGGAAGACAGAATATAGACTTGGAGGTAAGCTGTAAGTCTGAGCAGTCGGGGAACAACTGAAAAGATTCAGTATGGCTTCAGAAGATTCCCCTTAGATTCAGTTTAAACAAAACAAAAGTCACTTGAATTCAACCTCAGTCTTTGGTTACAAAAAATCACTTTCAAGCTCTAACCAGTAGGGGGCAGCAGAGTAACAAAAGGCTGCATTTAGTCCCATAAGAGCAATGGATGTTGATGGGTAAAAGATAATACTTTACCAAAGAAAAGAACAAAAAAAAAAGGGATTTTTCTGGAAGATTAAAAGGTTGATTGGACTCAAAAAGCAGGGAAAGATCCGAATCTGTAGTTGGCACCTCATGTGGGAGGAGGAGGAGGGGGAGGTTACTGTCCGTTGAAGGAGAGGCGGCTCCTCAGAGCATGAATGATTGTGTGTGTTTGAAATCCTGGGGCTGAAAGGGATAGAAAAATCAAATAATTTATATAGCGTGGGCGACAGAATCGGAAGGAATCTATGCAGGAGAGAAGCAGGGGGGGAGGAAGACACTTACTTCTTGGGGTGGGGGGGTGTAGTTGACGTTGGATCTGAAACACAAAGCCAATAAGCACACCAGATCAGACAGCTGCGTTCTGACTCATGTCCCGCTCCGCTTATACATCATATATGGAAGTGGGAGAAAAGGCAACTCTGAGTCAAAGCTTTAATGATGAGGCAGGATGAACCATTGTAACGTGCAGCAGTTTGACATTTCCGCTCTGCCCACTTCCATTTGTTACCTTTAAATCAAACCATCCTTTCAGTTCTTTAACTTTAGTTTTTGCAGCTACAAAAAAAAAAAAAAAAAAGGATTTTACCTTCCAAAATGATTCAGGTACTAAATGACCTAAATGTCCTGCTCACTTTGGCGGTTCTTGGATTATTTTAAGTCCCGCACTTATACATGAACCTAAATGTATAGAGGACGACCTTTTATTTCCGGGTGGATCATCTAAATAAGTGGTCCTACTAACGGTCAATCATTCTGGTGATATGTTTACATAAGGCCATCCTACGTGCTCGTCCCCTTACTGGTGGTGAGTCTGACTTAGTGGAAAAATTGCAAATCTTCTTTTGGAAAGTAAGCTTGTATGAGCGATGCAAACAGCAACTTTTAAACAGAGCATGCACGAGGAGAAATGCATGCTCTTGCACATGTTTAAAAGGGGTTCCCTCTCAGTAGGGGGTACAGGGTTGTGCATGTGTATCTTTTTTAAGTGGAGAGCAGAAATCCTCCATTATACCTTTAAATGCATGCATGGCAACACAGGGATGTCTGCAAATGGATAATAAAAATCTAATTACAGCTGGTGAGAGTGTGACGCTTTGGGCAGGTGCCCATTAGCCTCGTGAGACCATCCTGATCTCGCGAGCTTTCAAGATTTCACTCGCTAATCAGTCTGAAGATTCTCCGTTGAAGACAATTTGGAGCCGTTCACCAAACGAACGTCCAATCAGTGTTGGATTTGAGGCGGGTTGAGGTGTGACGCAACGAGAAGCGCGACAGTTCAATCTAAAGAACATGGCGGCTTCAGTCGATGAAACTAGCGTTAGCGTATCAGGCAAGTTTTATCGGAATTACAGAGTATTTCTTCACTGAAAGAAGAGCAAAACACTGCTCTGGAGGCTTTTCCCAGAGGAAAAGATGTTTTTGCTCTTATCCCGACTGGTTTCGGCAAGAGTTTGATCTATCAATTGGCTCCTCTTCGTCGTCACTCTGTTAGTACATCATATGCTTCGTTGATCTGATTGGTTTATTTGGCCCGTCTATCAGCAACATAGGCCAATCAGCTAACCAGTATTTTCACCCCTTCCCAAAATTACTTCAACGGAAGGTTTCCAGATGGATATGCGGAGCAAATCCATCTGGCAGAGTCAGGTTAGGTGCCCATAACAAAACCACTGCTACCTGGACCCGTCTAATTGACATGCATTTATAGAAAAGCCTTTAATCGTTTTCTTTCTTTATATAAAACCTAAAAAAAAAAATTCAATACACCAAGTCAAATACTATTGCTCTGAGTTTTTGAATTTGCCATAACAGTTAAAGGAGCCAAAAGCCTTGATTACAAACAAGTAAAAATATCTAATTACAGGAGCTTTTGTTGCAATAATGAAATAGTGATTACAAAAAAAAGGCTACGGGAGAGAATAATCCAGATTATGAGACACTAAATTATCCATGTGGTAATTTGTGGCTGATTGATATGCTAAGTATATTGCAGACAAAAATAGTTCAAGTTGGAGATGTAAAGTTGGTTAAAAAAAATTGAGCTGGTAAACCGTGAAAATGAATCGGTTCATTTTAAATCAGTTGGACAGATTATTTACATGAAAAGTAGTTTGTTTTTCCTGCATTTGTACAACCTCATTGAAACACTGAAAATTTGGCTACATTAGTATTCATAGCTTTAAAGTGAGTCTTTTGAGGGCTGCTTTCTGTCCTCACTTTTATTAATTTTTTTTGGAACGGCGTCCATTTTTCTTCCTGTTCTAGTTATGAAGACTGTCTATTAAGGAAAACCACCAGGAGAAACATCCTCTGCCTCAGGTAAGATACTGACTACTCACAGCTACAACACAAAAAATGTCCATTTATAATTTGGTTTATAGAAAAAAGTGACTGAAACTTCTGCTTTGGTGTATTTTGACCATTTAAATTAAATACCTACATTTCTTATTAGATATATTAACATTTCTGCTATAATTAATATTACATGTCTGTGAATAATTCACCAAAGTCAAAGTTGAATTGATTGAATTATTCACATTCACTAATGTGATTGCTTAAATGTCTGCTTTTACTTTTTAACTGAAAGCTGATGAAGAAATAATGAGATTTTGATGTTTCACTCTTTCTTGCACGATTTTTTTAAATGTTTAAACCATTTCTGAGTGTTAAACATGAGCAACGGTGACAAACAAAGGACGCCAAGAGTAAAAGAAGTCATCTTAGCCGCACTTCTACAGATTGGTAATTAACACCTTATCTCGTTAATCCAAAACGAAACGATTTATTTCCCAGAGGGCCGTCTCTGGGCCGTGTTCAGACCGTTTCCTGGAGTCGGAGCTGGTTAATGAGATTTAACCTCTTTCTGGCTGTGAATTTGTCCCCATGTGTCACACTCACGTGTCCTCTGTTCTGTGCAGGGTTTGGCTGCTGATGTGGGCCGCACCGTGACACTGGGAGATCCAAAATGACCTGCGGGGTGGGGGGGTGGGTGTCAGGTTGGTGGCTTTAAGAAGAGCGAAGGCAGACTAGCATTGCACGCCATGCAGGAGTTTGAAACGACGGTTGTGATTATTCATGCAGGAAAACGGACCTGATGGATTAATCTGCCGGTTCTGTAAATTTAATTTACGTTCAGATTACAGCGTTGAAACGTCAAATTTTCACTCATAAGCTTTTTTCAACAGCATATAAATAAGAATTACCATTAATTTAGTTTATTGAAATCCATCTTATTACAGGTTTATTACGCACAGAAGGATGTATTTAGTTATTTCTAATGAGTTTGGCTTAAAGCTGATGAAAACCCAACATTTAATTCTTTAGAAAATCTTTTTGAATAAATGTCGGAATCCTTATTTCCAAAACAAACAAATTTCTTAATGTCCTGGATTATGTTTCAGTGGTTCTTTGAATAAATCTCTCCATCAGTTTTTTTTCCTTCCACTAAACTTTTCCTTTGTCTTGTGGACAGCTGCTTTGTTTTTTTTTAAACTATGAGGCACAGACATCAAAGTTAAACTGTAGGGTTGCGACTGATATTAACATATTAACAACCTATTTTTCACCATTAAATTAACTCGTATACTTTCAGAGCGTAAACTTCCCGTGGCTCCACATAATCAAAGGCAGGTAACCTATCTTGTAGTTAAGGGGGATACATTTCCTCCCTAAATGATGCCTTGCTTTAAGGCAGGTTCTGTTTGTACGCTGCACCCGGATTAGCCGCACCATTAAGACCACCTGCAGGTGTCTCTTAAGAAGAGAGACACTTGAACAAATTGGATCCAGCAGCCTCGGTTAATCTGAAGGCGGGGCTTAGGAGAGTATGCATGTTTCCAAAGCTGCAGCTAAATAAGAGATATTTGCACCAAATGTTTGCAGAACAAATTCAGTTTTTCTCCTCTCATCATCTCTACTGGTTTAATCACCTCTATAAAATGAAAACAATTTGACCTTTTTGTGGATATTTATTGACAAATATTATCTTGGTGGATTTAGTCGTGCAATATCTTCATGTTTCCTTTGCTTCTATAGTTGGCTAAAAAATAATGTTTTCTTAATCAAGTGGACACTAACAGGCAATGACATTGGATATCCGAGCTTTTCTGTGCAGACGGCTGCTGCCGGACAGAGCATAAAACTTTCATGCTTCCTCCGTGCTGCAGGTGATCCAAAGTGATGACTTTCCCTCCCTGCTAACAGTTTGTGCTTAAAAAGAACAGCCACAACTAACTAAATAGACACTAAAAGGTTATTTCTAATGCGACTCAGACATGATGTGTGAAATCATGCAGCCAATCCCATGCAGCACCCTGTTAATAAAACAAAGCATTTTAGTGTCTGACCTAAATGAGCCTTTATGCAGCTGAATGTTTGCAGGAAAGGTGTTTATTTTAACGCTGAAGCGAACATGGAAACATTTTAAAACATGAAGGTTTTCTTTCAGGTCGTTTATCTGACAGTTCAGTGGTTAAACCACTCTGCTCTGGTTCCGGGTTCAAATTGCATTTAAGCCTCTTGTTCAAGTGAAGGAAGTAAGAGAGACAGGATGGACTTAAACATTTATGAAGAAACAAACAAGGCTTGTAACTTTACCTCAATACTTTATTTTTTCATGCACTAATTGGAAGTTGGAGGACTTCCAATTAGTGCAGTGGTATATAGGAGCTGGGCTGGGAACCTGGAGGTTGTACCAGTAGATAACTCTACTGGAATGCTGCTGCCCTGATAGGCTAAACTAGGGCCTATATTCATATGTATTCTAGATATCTTCATATCTTGAAGAAACTCTAGATTAGTTGACATTTTCTGCAGGGTAGGATGAGGCAGAACAGAGAGGAAATAACTGGAGGAGCCAGGAGAAAAATTAAATCTGCTGTCCTGGCTCTCTCAGACATGCCTGGAAGAAAACAGGTCCATTAGGAATATTTTTCAAAACTATAGCAGAAGCCCAATAAATGGAGACTGCTCCAGTTAAATCAGACTTTAAACCAAAGCTCCACCTTGTCTGACTGCAGTGGGGTGACCGGCCAGCCATCGGATGACAGAAAGCCGAGTTTTCAGGCTCACCGATGGTGCGTCACTATATGCCAGACCACACTCTCATCCTTCGCTATCTCCATAATCCATCCAATCAAGTTAATTGCCCACAGAAGTTTCTCCTGCCAATAAGATCCTCCTTGCTGATTAACAGCAAGTAATTATTCCATATTTATGCAGCTCGGATGGTTAGATTGATTTTCCCAGCTACATTTTAAGGTCAGTTCAACAGAACTGGGGGAAAAAAAGCTGTTTTTGGTTTATATCTGTTGGTAGCCGGACTCCTACAGCTGTCCTGACTCAGCCAAACAGTCGGGAGCGCGCAATGACAAACCAAAGCAATTACCGTTTCTTCACATCGATGTTAATGCAATCACAAAGCTCTTACCTCCCTCTGGGTCCTTCTGACGGACGAGGGGCAGCCGTGGAGAGAAAACAAGAGTCCACATCAGTTGTTTATTTTTTGTTTTTTTACAGAATACAAACCATTAGTCACGTCTGGGCGAGCGTGAGAAGAAAACCTACGCGTGAGTAAGCCGTTCCGATGCAGAAGCATCCCCCCGCAGCCGCACACCAAAAGAAGCAGGCAGACCACCACCACGGCTCCAACAATCATGGTGACGTTGACGTCCTCTAGGGAGAGGAAGGGTGAGCTTCGATCTGCTGGTTCCATCAGAGAGCCCTGAGAGGAGGACACTCACCTATCGTCATGTGCTTCCCTACACACATTTTGGGGGAGCCCACCCCGTTGGACGCCAAGCAGCTGTAGCGACCACTGTCCTCTTTGGCCAAGGATTTGAACTCCTGCAGAGAACAAGACAAAAGAAGAATCTGGAATTCCAGTTCCACTCTACTTTGCACACAAACACAGGCTAATCACTGAGAACCTCTTGGATTAAAGCATATTTATATAATAGAATGGCCTAGTCAAAGTAAAAGTTGAAATCAAGTAAGAATCTGTGGCTTGACTTTCCCAGATATTCCCTGAGAATATTGTCAAGAATCTTCAGATTCTAATTACCGTATTTTCTGGACTATAGCCGCCTACTTCATTCCCGCGCTTTGAACCATGCGGCTTACAAGAAGGTGCGGCTTTTCTCCCCCCTAACCGCCAGAGGGGGAAGTCAAAGTTGAAAATGAACGAATGATGGTCTTATTTTCTTCAAGATGGAGAAAAAAAGGCCAAAATTCACACATTTTGACATTTATTTGCCTCATTAAAGCTGCCGAACCACTGAAGGAATTGGGCTCAACTCCTTCAGAGCTGAAATAAATTAGTAACAAAACCCGATCCGTCCAGGAAGCATGATCAGTACCATCAGCTCAGACCAGATATACATCCAGGTTTCTATAAATAATGTAATTATGGTACTAAAATTACTTACTTCTATCCTTAACTCACTAAAGAATGCTAATATTCAGCTTTAAAAATGTTTTATGACTTTTCTGAGACAATTTAATGCTTTTTAGATTTTCTCCATTAAACAGCTTCTCTGACGTCATCATCGGAAACGCTCTGAGTAGTCCTGCAAAATATGATTAAACCATCTTTATCTGCATTTTAGTGGTTTCGTTCTTTAGCTTACGCACTATATACCATAATCCTAACATGAAAGGAAAACATAAAACTTAAAAAGACTAGATTTATGTTGAAAAGCTGAAAAAGTTAGCTCCCGGAAGTAGCATAGGATCTAGTTAGATCGGGAACAGATGAGTGATAAAAACAGGATTTTAAGACATTTATTTTCTCACAAAAATACATTATTAACCTTTAACACATTGTTGTTTAGTACGCTTACTATTTTTGGTGAGGGAAAAACATAATTTATGTCTTTTTTACAAAATAAAATCGAGGGCGTCCCAGGTGTATATCTGGGTGTGCATGCGCAAATGATCTGATGGCACGGATCGTGCGTCCGGTACAAATTAGTTAGTGACAGGGGGACAATTTAAATTAGCACAAGAACATGCTAGCAGCAGGCATGACGGAAAACAAATGTCCCGAATTCGCACATTTTGACATTTATTTGCCGCATTAAAGCTGCCGAACCAATGAAGAAACTGGGCTCAACTCCTGCAGAGCTGAAATAGCTTAAAACTCTGTCTTTCGGTAGGAGCTCATGCTGATGCGAACCAACAAGCTAATTGGTAGCTAACATTCTTCTTCCTCCCTACTCCAGGAGCTATATGTAGAGCTGGTGGAAGACAGTTCAGTAGATATCAGCGGCTTATAGCGCGGTGCGGCTAAACTTGCACTGAAAGGAAGATTGTCGCGAGAGTTTTCAGCCTCACAACAAATCCGTCTTTAAAGACTCCTGCTAATACATCTATTTCCGAACAACCAGTGAGTTGTACCAATGATATGTCAGCAGTGTTTTTTGAGACGGGACGTGTAGGAATGACCACAATCAGAAGGATACTGCTGGGGAATAACAACGCTACGCTGGAGGATTGACCCGTCAATACTGCAATTGACTCGGTTTTAGCTAAAAAAGTGACAACTTCTCATTCAAAAAAGGAGCAAGATTGGAAAGTAGATGGGAAAGATCTATGTACTTTTCTTCTGACAGGATTTGGAAAAAGTTTAGATTTATCAGCGTACTCCGCTAGTTGTAAAAACACTCAGGAAGCTGCAAACGAATCCTATTCTGATGCTAAGATTGGCTGAAAGCGTATTACGGCAAGGCGGGAACTAGCTGGCCTGTCACCAGATCACTTCGAAGTAGGGTACTAAACGTCCTTCCTTTTCATAGACAGACTGAACGGCAGCCTTTCCAGACTGATAACGTAGAACTCAACTCAGTTCTACACATATCAATCTGGCTACTGCCAGGTTGCGGTGCTGCTTATATATATCTACATTTCCAGTTTTTTCATAAAATTAGTGGGCACGGCTAATAGTGAGATGCACTTTATAGTTTGGAAAATATGGTAATCAAAACCTTCAAATAATCCGTTGAACATATTAAAAGAAAAGGGAAAAAGTGTGAATATTTCTGCAAGTCGCCGTCTCTAACCTCCTACTAATGAGATGCAGCTTGAAGGAGACGGTGATAAACGCTCCAGCTGCGTGCTGTCTCACCAGTATTCCCGTGTGGGAGTTGATTAGATAGGTCGCGTTGGCGTGACGGGGTGGGCTGATTGGCTTGTTGTCCTTGAACCATGAGTATGTAGCAGGTGGGACGCTCTGCTGGTCCCGGCAGCGCAGCTGCACCGCTGATCCTGTCACAGCCGAGGCGGGGACTTCACATGACGGGGTTTGTGGGGGAACTGAGTGACAAGGTGAAGGGGGGGATAAAGTGAGTCAAAACTTCTCGTTTCTCCCCCCTGATCCTTCAGGATTCGTCCGTCCAGCTCTACCTAAGACGTTAAGCGTGACGTTGGTCTCGCCCAGGGTGACGGGGTCAAGGGAAGCGCTGATTTCGCATCGGTACTCTCCGGCGTCCTCCTGGGTCACCTTGTGCAGCGTCACTGTCGCTCCGTTGATGGTTGCTCTGCCTTCAAAGGGACCTGGGAGGAAGGGGAAACGTCTCATCAAAGCTCTGCAGCAGAAACAACTAACAGGAATATTTTTATTTGATCGTCTCCAAGATTTGCTAGACTGAAAAGGAGCTGAAAGGAGAGCAGGGATGTAATGACTGTAGCTCTGGATGTTTGCTTTTAAATAAAGAGCTTAGACGTTTATGATAGCTTCAGAATTGATAACAGGCTACAAAACAATCTGGAAAGATTCAGAAATCAACATCAGGACAACTTGTTAATATCAGTTTCTATCTTTGGCCAATAGATTGTTAGAAGCAGGAACTGATTAGATAACAGACATCAGTCTTTCTAAGAACAGCGAGACATTGTTATACACCAGCAGCTGGAGGAGGCGGCAGAAGGTCAAAGACGTGTCAAATCACTGACATCTTTAGCAGGGGGAAAGCTTTTGTGTTCATTACTTATTCAGCCTCAGAGATGAGACGCTTTTATGCTTCAACACTCATTCATCCTTCAGGTGCATCTTAACGAATCAGAAGATGAAAACTTGTAAATCAGTCCGTCTGCTTCTGCAGCTCCCACCTTTGAAGCGTCCCTCGAAGTAAACGAAGGAGACCTCTTGAGTCTCTTTCGTCTTCTTTTTCCACTCGATGCGCGGGTTCTGGTCCACCTCGGTGTGGAACTGGCATGACAGCACTGCATCTGAAAGGTAGGAGAGAGGGGGTCCTCTTAGGCGGCATTTTAACGGCCTGATCTATTTATAGCCGCATCGTTTCACCGTCAGAGAGGGCCGGACAGAAGTGTTTGCTTCCTTTTGTTCTCACCTGAGAACTCCTCCACCTCCACCATATGTCTGGCGGTCTTCACGGTCACGGGAACAGACGGGGAACCTGGAGGAAGATCAGACACTGTGGGTGGGTAAATCATAAAAATTACCGTAAAATACCCCCCCCACCCGTCCATTAGGAGAGAAGGCGAATTAAAATGCCACGCATGCTCCCAGGCTGCAAGAGGAGAATACTTAACAGCCATCTTTGGGCTCTGATGTATGAGGTAAACACGGCAGGCGTCCATCTCCAGGAGGTCAGCAGTAAACACAGGATTACTTCGTCCTTTCACTTAATCCCGCAGCTTTAAGGAGGAGCTCACCCCGCGTTCGTCTGAACGCAAGTTGGGTCAAAGTTGGCAATAGTTTCACCCAACGACTGCTTGGGATTACCTATATATTGGGGCACGTTCTGCCTTCTGTGTCATTGATACCTCGCAACTAAACAAGATGAGTACCTGCTTTTATTTTTTTTTTATGTGCAAAAGCAAAACTAATTCAAAATGCACAGGAAAAAAACAAAAAAACACCATCAAAGGAAAAGCTTAAAATACCCTGATTCTGTTTTGTTTCCTACTTTAAGCCATTTTCAAATGGCATTTTAATTTATTAAAGGAAAAAGCCACCCAAACCTTCAGGCTCTATGTGAAAAAGGAGCTTTAGCCAGTGTTCTGGGTTCTTTAATGACCTCTTGGATGAATCTCCACAGTAAATTCGGTCAGGTTTTCACTGCTAGAAATGATTGGTCCTCCTTTTTCCACCATTTCTGGACATTTGTGTTTTTAAACTGTGGTTTAATGAAGCCCCAAAGCCTAAGAAACAGCTTTATAATCTTTTCCGCACTGATGAAAGGCGGAAGCTTTGACCAATCAGGGGGTTTTCCTCCAAGGGTATTTTAATGGCCTGATCCGTTTGTAGCCTCGTGGTTTACAAATGGAGACAGTTTCCCATCTGTTCCTGAATTTATTTACACCAGGGGGATTCAAGTTGTGTAAGCCTACTTCATGTTGTCAGAAAGGTACTATTTAGTTAAATTTCTTCTTATCAAAAGAAAACAAAAATCGAATTTTGCTTTTTTTTTGTCAGATCAAATTAAATATTTTAGATCAACAAGTCTGAGATGATTAATCTAATGTCATGCTCAACTCGATGGGAAATCCAGTCCTGAGAAGATTGGAAAGGGTTTTAAATGTTTTCCGAATGCGAGTAGAGAGGTGATCCTACTGGCCGGCCATTGCTGAAGCAGATTGGATCTCAGGCACAAGGCAGGAAGTTTAAACGATGTCTGCATAGAGAGACGAAAGCTTGGCAAGTTCATTTACCCGTGTGAGTAAGCAGGGTTTTTTTCCCCCCTAAGCATTGTTCTTTCAAATGACAAATCTAAATATAAAAATAAGCACACAGTCGTTATTCAGTTGTCCAGTTTCCTGTAAGTCGGTGACTTCCTGAGCTGGCTCCATTGTTGTGATATTTTACGCTGCAGTCACAGAGGGGCCTGCCCCTTGCAAACGGAGAAAGCAGGGAAAGCTGAGACAAACAGTAGGAAGACGAATAAAACAGCAGGACAGCTGCACAGAATGTCATAATCCCAGTATGATTAGACAGTACAACCCAATCGAAACCGGTATCTGATAGTTGCCACTCTGGAAACGCCTTTCCTAAATCTAGAGCAGCTCTCCTCAGCTTCACTCCTAATTTTGCCTCAAATAAGTGTATCCTTCCCTCTGGACGGTCTCTGTTCCCTTCAGTAGGACATGCTTTAACTTGAGGCGGCTTAACAGGATTATGGTAACTTTGGCCCGCGTACCTCGACACCCTCAGGGAAGCACGCGCTCACCAAAAGGAAAGGGCGAAACGAGCAGGAAAGATGCAATCAGATTAAAAGGGGACAAGAATGAACGATCAAGGAGAGATGAGCGTCCCTAAGAATAGAATACAAATGGAGCGAAGGAGAGCGAGTCACACTGAGTGGAGCTAGGCGGAGATGGGGGGGGCAGGGGACTTAAGACCTGCAGGAGCATGAATAAAAGAGCGAGTGGGACTGAAGGCGAAGGAGATGGTGTCTGACAGCAGGGACCAGAACCGGGAGAAACTCTCGCATAGTGCGGGTGAAGGCCTAGTGTCTGGAAAATAAAGGTACGGAAACAAAGCAGGGGTGACAACATGCCTGTAGACACTTTTAAAAAAACGACCAACAGGCTCTGCATGTGAGGTCCCCCCCCCGACGTGTTCCACTGCTATGAAAACTGACAGCTTTTACGACCTCAATTAACCATGAAGGCGTTGAGGCATACGATAAAGCCATGGTGGACATACTGTAGTATAATACCCATGAGGGCAACCCAAGCAGCCCGATCGCATTGATGGATGGATGGAAGGCAAGCCGTTAGAGAACAGAATAAGGAATCATGATTTTTCTGGACTGCAGAGAGAACCCTGTCAGTTGCTCTTGGTCAGTGAACTCAACATGAAGCAATTGCCGGACAGATCAAATCTGACTATATTTAGCCGATTTAAATGTCGGTAGAAAACTAACCCCAATCAGCAGCTTCCTGTCAGGGTTGGACCGACGTTCGCATCCAGAAACAACCCAACCCCGGACAAAACACGCCCTGGAGACCAGCTAAGGCGTACTAGCTGGAACAAACTGATTATTCCACTAAGAATGAGTCACAAAGTTTTTTAGATGGATCCTGATAAGTAATTCATATGCATCTCAGCAGGAGGTCCCTGTTGGTTTACAAATATAGCATCAAACAGGGGGGGCTCTGTGGTAATTAAAATGCTCCTGCACTCTAACATGAACCAAACACATCGACGGCTTAGGAGCTCAAAGGGACATCGGCGTCTTGGCAGAAAATAGGACGGACACGCTGCGGCTGGGCTCCGATTACGAGGTCCGTACGGGGTGTTACAGAGGTCAGGAGTGTGGCGCAGTAATAATTAAGGCACTTATTCAAATGAACAGGGAACAGATGAGAGGGGAAGGGAGACGGACCCATAGGAAGTGCCCCGTCTGCCTGTGCGATGGAGATAAAGTGGATGGCACACGTTTTAAGGCTGCAGAGGAAAAACAGGACATGAACTCTGGGCATGCATGGGTGTCTGTGTGTTTTCCTTGTGAACAAAGCCCGACTGTGTGAGCTCAATGCAAGAGAAACAGCTGTCTCAGTCAGGAACACCATGTGGGAGGGAGACGGGTTGATATTTGGGATGGTGAGTCTCCTACAGACACGCCCAAGTGTTTCCCTTCACTTTTGGCCAAGTGGTACATTTCAGAAACTCTGGAGGCCTGACAGGTAGCCAAATGTCACCCACAGAGAGCAATGTGTGCATCACTCGCTCACACTGTCTCATCGCATCCATCAAAGCTTTTTTCCTCTCCCACGAACGTCACCCGGGTTCCCAAACAGGATAATCAAGAGAGCTCCTGAAAACCTCCCATTGTTTCACATTTTATCTCCTCTTGTTTTTGTCCCGACCTTCCGCATTCATGAAAGTGAGGAAAGCGTGTAGTTCGAAGCAGCAAACATCTTTCTTCTTTGCCGGGATGTGAGTGCATCTTCACTTTTAGGATTGATAAAATTATGAGTAAATTGCCCTGCGACGGACTGGCGACCCGTCCAGGGTGTACTCTGCGTCTCGCCCGTAGACAGCCGGAGATAGGCACCAGCAGCCCTTGTGACCCCGCTTGGGATATCAGAAGTTCCTTAACATCCAGGCGGACAGACTTTGAAGAACAGGAGTCAGATTTTAATTGGAAGAGGTTCAACCTGGCTTATTTTTGGACTCGGACTCCCTTGTGGAAGATGCTGCTGATAATGAGGCTGTAGCAGAGCTTAAACATCTTCAAACATGATTTTTCCCCCCACCTATCCGGTTGGCTTCCATGCATATTTTCCACTTGTAAAATGCATGAGCTGAAAGCCTGGGCTTAGTCTACTGTAGGTCACCTGGTGCTGCCTGGATGGAGTTAATGTTAATGTAACAGTACAAATGATTATGAATAAAATTGCCAACACTGAGCAAAGAAAATGGAAGGAAATACATTAGAAAGCTAAAATAAATGCAACATTCACATTTTAAAACAGCAAAACAAAGATAAATCCTAACTATATGTAAGGGAGTGAGTGTTTTCCTAGAAAAGTCCATCCAGCAGCTTTAAATATAGGATCTTAACCCCAAAGCGTTAAACTAATTGCCTAAGTGTTTATCTTAATCCATCCAATGAAACCATCCTGGCTGGGTCCTAAAGTGATTCCTCTGATTAAAATCTTTCCGTTTCTACTTACATTGCATCAGTAAAATAACAATAGGGAGATACAGGGACGTCCCCTCCATTGTCGTCCACAACTCCGGCTGAGTCTCGTCTTCCCTGGACGGAGCGGGGACGCAGATCCTCGGCGCTCTTCTCACACTTGTTCACAACTCTCCGATGGTTCATCCAGCATCCAGGGAAGAAACTACCGTCCAGACCGGGGGGAGGAGGGGGGGAGAGAGGGAGAGAGAGAGAGAGAGCGGCCGGAGCAGCTGCTACAGCTGGAGGAGCGGCGCGCAGCGAGCGGCCGGTGGAGACGTCGGAGAGGGAATGGCGAAGATCGGACACTGTGGGGGCGAATGAGTCTCCAGTTTGCTTTTTTTTTTTCTCTCCTTCTCGTGCCGTGCCGTTTCAGCGCTGATTGAGGTGGAGATGAGGGAGGGAGGAGGGAGGGAGGGAGGCGGGGAGAGTGGTGCGCCTAGAGCGCAGCGCCGCGTCCAAAGGCGCGCACTGCACCGGCCTCACAACCAGAGATTCACCCTCACCTCACTCCATGCTTAAGCTTTAATGTTAGATTTAAAAAAGCCTATTTACAGTTTTACGGAACAGGATAAGGGCCAATGAAAAAATAAAAAAGTTAACTCATTTTTAAATATTATTTCAGTTTAATATGGGAAAAAGGTCAGAATCCGGACTTTGAATCTCAGAATCCTGACTTTAAATCTCAGAATCCTGACTTTAAATCTCAGAATTCTGCCTCTAATCTCAGATTTCCGACTTTAAATTTCAGAATTCTGACTCTAATCTCAGAATCCTGACTTTAAATCTCAGAATTCTGACTCTTATCTCAGATTTCCGACTTTAAATCTCAGATTTCTGACTCTAAATCTCAGAATTCTGAGACTAACAAACATGTTAGCATTAAGCCGTAGCCATGTCTATTTTAGAGTCTATCTAGCTCTCTTGTTTTAATCACCTTTTGCTCTTCTAATAATGAAATGGCATCACCAGGGACCCCTCGGGCATGTAAAAAGTTGCCTAATTTCGTAATTTTCCACCAATGTGTTACTGGCCCTCCCAAACAACTCACATCTTTGTCAGTGAAGCTGAATGCTCCCACATCTCTTCCTTCATGGTGCCCATCTACATTAAGATCCAAAATTCTGAGATTAAAGTCAGAATTCTGAGATTAAAGCCGGATTTCTGACGTTTTCCTCATACTATACTGAAATAAAATTTAAAAATCAGTTAACTTTTTTTGTTTTTTCAGTGGCCCTAATCCTCTTCCGTACAATTTCCACAGCTTTTTATTTATTTTTTTTAGTTGGTAAAGATCCTTGAGAAACCAACAAAAACTCTAAGATTCAGTAATGCTTCGTAGTCCTGAGCCGGATGTTTTGTTTCCTTCCATGAGGGCACAGAAAGAAACAAATAAACAAGGCAAAAGTTCACTGTCTGATATATATCAGGTGAACCAAAGAGCAGCTCTGAAATCCTCAGATCTAGCAAAAGAAAAATATGATCCCATCTCAAGATAACAGAAGCTGAGAAATAACATACTAATAATAAAAATGTTCCAGTGGTTTCTTTTCCAGTGCATATTTATTCACCATAATTTATTGGTGTGTGTTATGTCTTTAGTGAAGGAGCACTGGCCCCTGTTAGCCCCCGTCTAGAAGCATCCATGACGTTCTACCGTGTTACAAATATAAACTTTTATTTATTTTATTGGGATTTAACAGAGTTAAAACACAACCACCTATTCTTGGTGCATGGAGATGGTAGCATCATGCTGTGGGAAAGTTTCTCCCACAGCATGTGAGAATATGTCATCAGGACTCTCCATGTAGTTTTGCTCATGTAGTGAGCAGTAAAATGACACATAACCATCTCAGTCTAAATCTGAGAATTGGTATCATGCCGTAACATTTAGGATAAGTAGAAAAAAATGCATAAACATAATTGGTGGATAGCTGTGATTCATAGCTACAGCCTAATTATGTCATATTACAATGTCATTATAATAGATAAGTATTAAATTAACATTGTTTTGGACCACAACTATTTAAATCACAAAATATATCTAAGTTGATCAACTAGAGGTTGATCAAAAGAGGGGAGGTCACTTTGTTTCCACCTTTGGGCAATGATAATACACCACAAGAATGCAAGATTAAAAAAAGAAGCCAAATGTACTTGTTTGGAGCAGCATAAAGGAGCAGAAATGGAGATGGAAGCAGATGAGAAGAAGAGAGAGCGATGTGACCCAGCAGAGAGAGACTGAGCATCAGTGTTGCAGAAAATGTTTAGATAAGAGAGAAATTTTGTGTTGATCTAAGTTTCCATAAAGATATTTTTTGTAGTTTATAATGTAGCATTAATGAAATATTGCTTTCCCCAAAAATGGATGTTTTATCATTGACATTTTATCACTTTATCATTTACACAAGAAGGACCATATAAACAACAATATCAGGTAGTTGTCCTGAAAATGACTGTTATTAAATGAGTGTTATATAACACTCTGTTACTCTATCTATATAACAAAAGCTTTAATGTTTTCATGTGATTTTCTATATGATGAGCCATTCATTAATATGTTAATAAGCTTTAAAACATAATGTCTATGTTTAAAAGATTAAGAAAACATTTTTCTGCGTAAATATTTGTACATTTTGTAAATGTATTACTTCATCAAATAGGATGATAGAACAGTTTTCTTAACCAGAAGTTACTTTTTTTAATCAAATCTTTTCTTTGGCTGTATTTATATTTTTTTTAAAGATATAGTGTAACGAATAATGGAAACAATCATGGCTACAAAAAGTTTTCTATTTTATATGTGCACTGATATCTAAGTAAAAACGAAAAATGGGTCAGCCACATATTCTCCCTTTTTTTGACATTTTGCTATCTTCTATATAACATATAATATACCAACTCTTAGAAACTTTTGTCGCTTTACATTACCTTAAAAAGTAATAACTCCTATTTAAACTGTAAAAAAAAACAAAAAAAAAACAACCTTTATTGAGCTAAAAAACTACTTTCAATTGCGTAGCCTCAAAAGAAAGTGTTAAATTTAGGTTAATAATTTAGGTCAGCTCAGAAAACTAAGGTAGTTGTTATCTTTAACTTCTTTAACTTAATCAAATGAATTACCAAAACTTTTTGCTTTAACGTGTTGGTTATTTCAAAACGTTAAAGTTCAGTTAACTTTGGTGTGAAATGTGGGAAAACCAACTTTCAGAGTTGGCTTCTGAGACTCAATGTTCTTTTAATGTTCAGTTTTAATAAAGTAAATTGATGCCAAAGAGATGCTGCCAATCAAAATGACATTGTGTGTTCTGTAGAATAAAATAAAGCATTTTTTTTATTCTAATTGTTATTTAATTTGACCCATCATTGAGTTACCAGTAATCAGGGATCTGAGCTGCCGTGGTGCCCAAATAAAAGGTTAAAATATAGAAGACACATTTCCCCACTAAAGGAACAATAAGTTCTAAATGAAAAATATGAATCTTATGGTTTATAATAAGAAGCATTTCAAGTTATAACAACATAATTAAAACTAAAAGCAAAACCTAAATATTTTAAAATCCTTCCCAGGAAAATTGGCAAAAGTCTGTTGATATAAAAACAGTTTATATCAACTCCACTTTATCTTTATACAGGTGTTAAAATATTCTCTATAATGCATTAAAAGGTGAATTTTTATTTTATGAAGTGAAGATTCAACACTGCATGAAGAGAAACATTGAGCAGTCAAGGTCGAACAAATCTGCAACATTAACAGCTTAGCGAGCAGAAAATGCCCGCTGCATTTTGTAGCTTTCCCTAAATGCCACACTTATCTGATTTACTCACAGGTCACTCTATGACGGCGAGACGGCAATCCACAGCTACCGCCCTGACTCTGTAAACCTGCCTTACACACACACGCTGTGCTATTGGTGTAAAGCAACCAGAAGGGGAGAAAATATGAGATTAAACTAAGCTGCTCAGTTTAAGGCGCACAATGAGGATAGATGAAGCATAAAACCTTCAATCTTTAGCATTAAAGGGACGCTAGAATCTAAAAGCCAATTAAATACATTATTCCATATCTCATTCAAGCTGCAGACATTCCTGAACGCCACTCGTGCATTCAGGGCACACATTCAACCATCTCAGCCGGTGCAGGTGCTGACCCTCAAGCCTGCAGCACATGTCCCAGGGCGTGTCCCTCACAGTTTGCATTTGGATCAGCACCGACAGCTGCAGCGTAGATTTCTGATGCGGTTCTGCAGAATAAATGCAGACAATCGTTTCTGATGCAGGTTTTACTGTAAGTGGGATTTTCCCAAAGAATAAAACTTATTCTTCATGGGAAACGGGAGCGAAAACAAGTAAGAGGACACCGCCTTATGTCTGCGATCCTGAGGGTCAGGAACCACCTGTCTGACCACTGATACGCACAACAGCTGCTGGTTCAGACACACGGCCTTTGTTGGAAAGCAGACTGCTTGCACACATGTTACTTTATCCGTTTGTTTACAGCCGGATCAGCTGCGAGAAGCCCGAGTTCACTAATCAGAAGAAACACACAACTGGGACAGATTTGTTGCTATTTTTATAGCATTTATTGAACAAATGTGATGCATGGAGTTTCAATCGAGGCGGTTACTGGTTCGCTGCAGGCCGGGCTGAGTTAGGAGGGGCGGACGGGGTCCCTCTTTCAGGTTCCAGAACCTCAACCTGCAGAAGAGGGAACAGGAGAACAAGGGCACGACATTTATTTAACAAACAGACGTATAAATGGCTGAATGTCCGATGAAACGCGTCGTTGGTCATGGGGTCGTGATGCTTGTTTGCGGCGTGGGCTGGAGTGTTTGGAGCGCCAGCTGGAGGCAGACGGGGCACATGACTCCCTGCTGCCTGCAGCCGGCTCACGAAGCCCATCCGCCCACGCCTTCTGCTTTTCTTTTTGTTTTTTTAAACTGGTTCTGCCATGTTCTGGGACATGGAGGAGCAAATGTATCGAATGAGGACAACACGCCACAACTTCAAAAACACAAAAACAACAACTGCAGTCTGAAAATAAATACATGCCAACGTTGGAGCACATTTCATATGAGCAGATTTACTTATAGGAGCAAAAATTAAAAATACTGATTAAAAATATCACTTTCAATTATTAGCACTTGCTTGGATTCTTCTTATTTATTACAGGAAGCCTATTATACAGTGAGGAAAAAAAGTCTTTGAACACCCTGCTATTTTGCAAGTTCTCCCACTAAGAAATCATGGAGGGGTCTAAAATTTTCATCGTATGTAGACTTAGATTTATTTTGTCAAATAATCATAAATGTAAACAAACAGAAATTTCATTTAAAACAGCTCTAGACAATTTCATTTTTTAAAGAGCAGCCTTATAAAACAATACATAAAAATAGTAATATAAATATATGACAGTATAATTACAGTTCTGACATTAATATTATTTTTTGCATGTCCAAATTGAGAGACATTATCTAAAAAGAAATTATCCAGAAATCAAAATGTATGATTTTTCACAATTTATTTGTGATACAGCTGCTAATAGAGATCAATCATTTCCTGTAGTTTTTCCACATGGTTTGCATACAATGCAGGAGGGATTTTGGCCCACTCCTCCACACAGGTCCTCTATAGATCAGTCAGGTTTCTGGGCTGCTGCAGAGAAACATGGAGTTTAAGCTCCCTTCAAAGATTCTCTATTGGGTTTAGGTCTAGAGACTGGCTAAGCCACGTCAGAACCTTGATATGTTTCTTACAGATTAACTCCTTGGTTATCCTGGCTGTGTGCTTCGGGTTGTTGGCAGACCCAGCCTCGATCCATCTTCAATGTTCTGAGGGAAGGAGGTTGTTCCCCAAAATCTCCCAATACATGGCTTTGGTCATCCCCTCCTTAATACAGTGCAGTTGCCCCCAAAGCATGATGCTACCACCCCATGCCTCACAGTAGGGAAGGTGTTCTTGGCATGGTACTCATCATTCCTCTTCCTCCAAAGTGGAATTATGTCTAAAAAGTTTTACTTTGGTCTCATCTGACCTCATGACTTTCTCCCATGATGCCTCTGGATCATCCAAATGGTCGTTGGCAAACTTAAGGCGGGCCTTGACATTTGCTGGTTTAAGCAGGGGAACCTTCCGTGTCACGCAAGATTTCAAACCATGACATCTTATTATATTACCTATGGTAACCATGGAAAAGGTGGTCCCAGCTCTTTTCAGGTCATTGACCAGCTCCTTCTGTGTAGTTTTGGGCTGATTTCCTACCTTTCCTAGGATTATTGAGACGCCATGAGGTGAGATCTTGCATGCAGCCCCAGTCTGAGGGAGATTGACAGTCATGTTTAGCTTCTTCTATTTTCTAATGATTGCTCCAACAGTGGACCTTTTTTCTAGCCTGGGTGCCATTCCGAACTTAGTCCCGCCCACAAAGTTTGAGGTCGGGAAGTTCGGTCTGGCTCTGCTCCATAGTAGCGCGAGTATTATCGCCCACTGTCAGGCGATCCAATCAAATTGTCAGGGCGGGCTTTATACGATGATGGACAGATGACCAACAGTAACGTAATCAACCACGTGACCAAAGCGGGCTTGGGTGACAACAATAATGGCTGCCGCTGGAGAGTTTAGGTGAGTAGATTCTGCTATTAGGTCTGTTCTAGAAGATATCGACAGCAAATTAATTTTAAAAGAGGAACAGAGAAACGCGATCAAGTCTCATCTTCTTATTCTAGGCGTGCAACTGCACGCTTTGATTTTTGTTGACAACAACTGTGCATCGCTTAACATACGTCACGCACTCCGTTGCTCTTATTGGTTGTAGGTCTATCCAATTGAGTGCAGAGGCATTTTTTTTCCTGGTTCGTTCGAAACATGCCCCATAATCACAGCTCTATGGAGCAGTATCAGACTCATATTCTGACTAGAATTGAGTCGGACTACGTCAGGCTACCTTTTTTCACCAAGCTGCTTCACAATTTCCCCGTTGCCCTTTCCAGCCTCGTGGAGGTCTACAATTTTGTCTCTAGGGTCTTTGGACAGCTCTTTGGTCTTGGCCATGTTAGTAGTTGGATTCTTACTGATTGTATGGGATGAACAGGTGTCTCTACGCAGCTAACAACCTCAAACAGGTGCATCTAATTTAGGATAATAAATGGAGTAGAGGTGGACATTTTTAAGGCAGACTAACTGGTCTTTGAGGGTCAGAATACTAGCTGATAGGTGTACAAATACTTATTTGCAGCTGTATCACACAAATAAATTTAGTGATTACTGGATTTTTGTTTTTCAGATCATGTCTCTCACAGTGAACATGCACCTATGATAATTTCAGACCCTTTCTTGATTTCTAAGTGGGAGAGCAAAACAGCAAAGTGTTCAAATACTTATTCTCCCCACTCATTTTCCTCACTGTATATTTATGAGTATTTTAACCCCTCTTCAAAGTGGGATACTTAATCTTAAAGCAAGGCAGAAAGATAATAATTAGACCAATTTAAAAAAGACAATGGTAACATGTCTTTCATGCTGTTATAAATTACATATCTGAGATTAGAATCTATAGGAATCACAAAAGAACAGAGGTGGGAGATTGACTGAATGCAGATAACTCATTTAACAGATTTTAATTGTTAAAGTGTGCTTGCTGAGGCAATCAAAATGAGAAAATGTTAGGATCTGACCAACATTATTAAAATAGGAAGGATTGGGACACATTCTTGCATTTCTTTTCCAAGATAAAAAGTGAAACACTGTTTGAGCCAAGAGAGATGAAAGCTGTGGTTAAATTTAGAAAAACATAAAAATAAAATGAAAGGCACCAGATGGCTATAAAAAAGCATATCTCAATCAGAGAAATGCTTTGGCTTATTCAGCAGTTTCAGTTTTAATAAAATCTGTTCCCATTGTTTTGTAATTTACTTAGAAAAACCGTTTCTGGAGGTTTAAGGAAGCAGAACATCTAAGGCCCTGCCTAAATCCAAACAGCAATCCTCGCACAGATTTTTAACAACTGATGAGGAAAGAAAAATGATTACTGCAAAAAAGCAGATGTAGTGAACTCTGGAGACAAACGTCTGCAAAGTGGTTGATCCAAAGATCAAAAGTAAACTTTTCATATAAATAGTTTTTTCTTGTGATTTCATCAAACAACAATTGTTGGAAAGATGGGTAATTCTGCTTTCTCAGCCAACTAAATTAAAAAAATTTATAAATAATTAAATAAATAATCAGCTGCTTTAACAAGGTTCATTCTACCCCGTAACTAATATAATCTGGAAATAAAAATTGCATAAAATGATACCAGCTCTGCGTAGTCTTGTTTTATAAATTATCTTTCGCACATTTCACCACAAAAAAAAAAACAAATACCCAAAACACATATTTTTTAACAAAATGTGCAATAACATACACACAAAAAAAGTTCATGCTTTACTTTTATTACCAAGTGCTCCTTAGAATTGATCAGAAATTAGTCAAACCCAATTAAGAAGTTAGATTTAAATTAAATTCAACCAATTCTTTTTTTTAAAGATATATTTTAATGTGAAATGAGCAGCTTTTTATCTGTTTATATTATTTATTCACTACTTTCTTTGGTGATGAGCTGCAGGGCCTTTAAGGCCGGAACACCTCCATGCCATCACCCTAATCTTTAGCTCCCTCCACAGAATCTCCATAGGATTTAAGCCAGAACTCTGACAGGGAGCATAAAAATTGTAGGGAAGCAGCTGTTCCAACCTTTGCTTTTTTGAATTCTCCCGAGTGGTGCATGACTTTACACTAGTGAATAAAGTTCTTCTTCTTTAAAAAAAACATCTACTGGAATGCAGTGTCGACCGGAACGACTCTCAGGAACTAAATTCTATTATACAAATGTGTTATATTTAGATATCGAAATATTATTCTGTAAACGTTACTGCCTGAATGACTTCTAAATAATTCAAATACATTTAATTTAACTTTTACTTTACCCCACAATATTCACATTTACCATCCAGTGTGGTAAATGTGGACAAATGGACAAATGTGAAGTACGGTTTTATCCAGTGTGAGCAAATTTCAATTGAGAAATAATTGTTTCTTCTCTACCTGTTCTTCTCATTTCTCCAGTTTTCTTTTGAATTTTATAAAACCAACGTCTCTCCGCTTCCTTTTGCCATTTATCCTTTATTTTTTGCTTAATTAGCATTTTAACTTCTGGTTTACTAAAATTAATAATAAAATCCACTGAAAATTTTTTTTAACAGATTCTTTTGCTGCCTGATCTACCTGCTCATTTCCTTTAACTCCACATGTGAATAAAGTGAATGTGATTGGTCGATTATCAAGGGGGCGGGATTGTTGTGGCGGAAGATTTGCAAGCTAGTTTGGTTGTGGCCGGTTTGTTGGGAGCATCTTGCTAACCAGTTAGCAACTTAGTGCTAGCAGGTTCCCAATGGGAAATTACATTGGGACCAAGTAGCACTAAATTGGTGACTTAGAAACGACACCGTCAAGGAACGCTATGGACAGAGGAAACATGCAAGAGGAGGAGGGTTTGGTATCGGAGGTCGTGGATGAATCCCCTCCGTCATACATTTTTTTTATTTAGAGGAGGGAAGTGGCGACAAAGTTGTTGTGGAAGAGGACACCAGGGCAGCAGAAGCTTGGTTTGGTATGTTTGAGCCCTTGCCTCACAACGCTGCCAGTTCTGTTAGCTCTACTCCTGCCGAAGACACAGACGTCCATCCCCCTGAACACTGGGACGGAACTCAATGGGAAAGTAAATGACTCTTATTTCTAATTTTATTTCTCATTAAGGCCACAACCTAAAGATATTCAAATGAAGATATGAAAAATGAAGATTTTTCTCTTTATCGGCTTTGAAAGAGTTTTAAAGAACCATCTCTAAAGCTTTTGAACTCCAGGGAAAAAAAGAGAGGACAAAGAACAGCAAGACAGGACAAAGAAAACTGGACTTTAACTGGACTCAGAGCCACTGAGACTGGAAAAACATCCAGATTGTCAAAAGAGGGAACAAAACCCTAATTAACAAGCTATATTTCTTTTAAACAGTTCTTTCTTTATTAACTCCTGCTGTCTTTGTAAAGAATATATACATAAAGAATTGTTTGAGGGGAAAAAACAACCTACAGAAGTAGACATTCAAAATCTCTCCACTTAGCTTGATGGGCATTTGGCAGGTCCCCTAAGATTCATTTTTTAAACATCAATCTTCTTACTAAAATATTCTGTCATGATTGGTGGACATTAAGATCTAAAGAGAAGCACCAGCTCCTGCTCAGACCCTGTAATTCTGTGAGCGGGTGGAGTGAGAGTAAATAAAATATGCACGCCTAGGAGAAAGAGGGGGTCGCTCCAGTGGCTGGAAGTTGGCTGCCATTCGGCTTACGTTTGATTGGGAAGGGCCATTTTGAATGGCTGCTACTGTATCAACAATCTGTAGGGACCAAGAGGAACATTTGACGATGACTCTAAAAGAAAAAAATTAACCAAACTGTTTGTAAAACAGTTTGAGAAGCTGATATTAACCATACACATGTGGTTTCTATTTACTGCTTTTTATGTAGGGGAATCAGAGTAAAAGGGGCTTTACTCTTGTTCTAAAATGCTACGTTCAGGCCGCATGCTGCAGAAGTACCTAGTTTACATGCAAAGTCAATGGTTGACGCACATCAAGGCGCAGTAAAAGGTCCTGCAGCGCGTCTGAGCTGTCAAGACTGCGCCTCATCAGCTTCAGATGCACTTTAGAAGCAGTATCTGCTGACGTTGGAAAAATTTAACTTTTGCTTCTCAACGCGTCACATCCACCAGTCAGAGAAGCTGATCTGGGAGCTGGCAGGGAGACAGACACAGCGCTGCTAAAGCAGACCGCTCAGATCACTCCCCTGAAAACATTTATTAACTCGTAAATTACCTTAAAATCTGGAAAACTGCCGGCCAAATATGTTCAAGTTCATTATTCTGGTGCCTGCTGTTTGGATTACGTACACGAACGACGCCTTCCAGCCGCCGCGAACAGTAGCGGAAAACCGCGAAGAGGCAACCGGGCCAGAGGCTGCCTTTTAACGGGATTCCCAGTGAAAGAGCACCATCGGCATGTGGTGATCTGAGCAGCTCTAACAGCGAAATGATATTTGAAGGCAGGATCGTGATCTTGATGAAGTCACTGCACAGATGAAGTTCAGGTGGACTTTCTCACTTAAAAACATATTAAAATGACTTTTTACGCACTTATAACAGAAACATAGCAAAGCCTCTCTCTGCCATTGATCACAGGAGCAGCAGCAGCATCAGATGCATCTGTGCAAACTTTACTGGATGCGCTTCAGGTGCATCAAAGATGGTTTTGATGCATGTCTGACCTTAATGTGAACAAGCTTCAAATAGAAGCAGTATGCGCGCTTTTGCTGCTGCTTCATGCGGTCTGAACGTAGCATAATAACATTTTTACTAACAGTCATCTCTTTATACTGTGAAATAAACATCCTTCAAATAACCTAGTAGCTGATTGGTGGCATAACTGCTTTTTTACCTCATGGGACACAAAGGACAATTAGGACCTCTGCACATGGAAAGGTGCATACATTAGTATAAGCAGACATTCGGCAGCAGGTCGGCTCATAAAAGCCAAATTTGAGGAAAATGTAGGCCACGAAGCACACGATGCCAGCAGCTGCCAAGTTAAGCATCTCTATTAATGAACATCTTTTTTCTTTAAATTACGCAACTACTGATGGCAGAAATGCTGCAGCAAAAGATATTTTGCCAACATGGCTCCACCCTAAAGTCACGCTAAGCCTAGTTTATATTTGAAAAATAATTGCTGCAGGGGATCGATACATTTTTCATGTAAAATTACAGATTTTCACAGCTCCTGATTAACATTTCAGTCATTTAAGTGCATTTAAAAATAGAAAATATCAGTTTGCCATGAATCCAGGGCAGATATTTCTACAATAAGAAGGCTTTAAAAATAAAGTGTAAGAAGAGAACAAAAGTTAAAAAAAGGAGGAAGTTGGAAAGAAAGGAGGAAAGAAGGAACACAGGGAAAAGACAATGAGGGGAAGAAAAAAGTACAAGAAAAGAAGGATGGAAACAATGAAATACAATTAATAGAGGGACGAGGAAGATGAGAGGAAGGAAATAACAAGGAAGTAAGGAAAGATGCATTAAATGCAGGAAACCAGGATCAAAGGTATGAATGACACATAAAGAAAAAAAATTAAAGGATGCATATCAAAAAAGAGGTAGAAAATAAAGAAAAAAGCTTTAAAGGAAGGAAGGAAGGAAGGAAGGAAATAATGAGATGAGAAGGAAGGAAGGAAATAATGAGATGAGAAGGAAGGAAGGAAGGAATGAACAAAGGAAAGAAGAAATGGAGGATGGAAACAATGTGAGAAGGAAGGAAGGAAACATTTAAATTAAATACAATAATAGAGAGACAAGGAAGAAGGAAGGAAAGATGCTTATCAAAAGAGGTAGAGAATGAAGGAAAAAGGACCTGTGGTTTTAAGGAAGTGAGGAGAGACGGAGAGAATACAAGAGAAGGAAGCAATGAAGGAAGTAAGCAATGCATGAGAGGAAGGACACAAAAAAAGTTGTAGAATACAAGAAAGAGAAAAAGGACTAATGACAAACCAAAGCATGTCAGTTAGGAACAGTGAATGGAATAGTATATCAAGTCTAATACTAATACTCTAATTCTATTTTTTTTTTCTTATTTGGACCTAAACAAAACTAAATGATCTAAAAATGTTTCCTGCTCCTCCTGACTGTGTTGGAAACAGAGCAGATTGTACTTTGCATTAGATCCAGATCTGCGCCTCTCTGCTGCAGTGAACTTGGAGAGTTTTAAAAATACCTTTTTTCTTGGCTCCCCAGTTAATGTGTGTGCTTTTGATGTCTGCTCACTGAGTCCTCTACCAGCAGGATGGGACCTGCTGTTTCCTAAAGATTACAGCCCACCATGCATCGCCTCTGCTTTTGCCAGCATTAAAATGAACACAATATAAATAGCAGTGGTAAATCCTAACCTCTGGCTGCTTCTCAGCATCTGAGGCGATAGCTGCAGCCAGAGAGCTGGCTACGTGTGAAGCAGGGTGGGATGGGGACGGGCCTGCAGCACAGACAGCAGTCCAACAAGCACTAGAGCACCAAGAGGCTCCTGTCAGCTGGGCTCAGCTTTGACGCTGCCGCTGTCTGAGGTAGAGATACAGAGATGTTTTATTGTCCTTACCAGTTTCTCTGCCCGTTGCCTCAGTTTCCTCCAGACTGTGTGATGAGCCTACAGAAAGAAACAGGGAAATGTGACGTACAGACATGTGAGCAAATTATCCCTGCAACTATGGCTGAGATGTCATGTTTACTAATCAGTATCTGGGTTTGCACTAAAACCTAGAAAAACTTGAAGTGCATGGTGCCTATATCCAAATATGGTGAAATAAGAACTACTTAATGTTTGTTTAAATGAGATAAATATAAAAAGGTAGAAAAAAGAAAAATCAGACTTTAAATATATAGAAGAGGGTGAGAGGAAGAATGGCTGAATAGATAAGAGAGAAAGGAAGGATTAAATAAGGGAAGAGGAAGGGACAGAAAGAAAGTATGGAGGATTTGTTAATAAGGAAAGAAGGGAAGAAGGAAGGACTGGGTGAAAGGAAGGAAGGAAGGAAGGAAGGAAGGAAGGAAGGAAGGAAGGAAGGAAGGAAGGAAGGAAGGAAGGAAGGAAGGACTGGGTGAAAGGAAGGAAGGAAGGAAGGACTGGGTGAAAGGAAGGAAGGAAGGAAGGACTGGGTGAAAGGAAGGAAGGAAGGAAGGACTGGGTGAAAGGAAGGAAGGAAGGAAGGACTGGGTGAAGGGAAGGAAGGAAGGAAGGAATGAAGGAAGGAATGAAGGAATGAAGGAAGGAAGGACTGGGTGGAAGGAAGGACTGGGTGGAAGGAAGGAAGGAATGAAGGAAGGAAGGAAGGAAGGAAGGAAGGAAGGAAGGAAGGAAGGAAGGAAGGAAGGAAGGAAGGAAGGAAGGAAGGAAGGAAGGAAGGAAGGAAGGAAGGAAGGAAGGACTGGGTGAAAGGAAGGAAGGAAGGAAGGACTGGGTGAAAGGAAGGAAGGAAGGAAGGACTGGGTGAAGGGAAGGAAGGAAGGAAGGACTGGGTGAAGGGAAGGAAGGAAGGAAGGAAGGAATGAAGGAAGGAATGAAGGAAGGAAGGACTGGGTGAAAGGAAGGAAGGAAGAAAGGACTGGGTGAAGGGAAGGAATGAAGGAAGGAAGGAAGGAAGGAAGGAAGGAAGGAAGGAAGGAAGGAAGGAAGGAAGGAAGGAAGGAAGGAAGGAAGGAAGGAAGGAAGGAAGGAAGGAAGGACTGGGTAAAAGGAAGGAAGGAAGGAAGGACTGGGTAAAAGGAAGGAAGGAAGGACTGGGTAAAAGGAAGGAAGGTAGGACTGGGTAAAAGGAAGGAAGGAAGGACTGGGTAAAAGGAAGGAAGGAAGGACTGGGTAAAAGGAAGGAAGGTAGGACTGGGTAAAAGGAAGGAAGGACTGGGTAAAAGGAAGGAAGGAAGGACTGGGTAAAAGGAAGGAAGGTAGGACTGGGTAAAAGGAAGGAAGGACTGGGTAAAAGGAAGGAAGGAAGGACTGGGTAAAAGGAAGGAAGGTAGGACTGGGTAAAAGGAAGGAAGGAAGGACTGGGTAAAAGGAAGGAAGGTAGGACTGGGTAAAAGGAAGGAAGGAAGGAAGGAAGGAAGGAAGGAAGGAAGGAAGGAAGGAAGGAAGGAAGGAAGGAAGGAAGGAAGGAAGGAAGGAAGGAAGGAAGGAAGGAAGGAAGGAAGGAAGGAAGGAAGGAAGGCTCAGTAAACTGAGCAAAGCAGAGTAAATATTTTCACTGCACTAAAAATAGAAACTATTTCTGTCCTAACCTCTATAACATTTAGTCCATAGATCACTCCACACTTCCCACAATATAAAACCGTCCCTCAAACACTGAGCCGCTTTTACTCCTGATCTGACAGGATGCGTTTGCTCTGTGCAAATGTTCTCCTGACTGAAAGAAGTTCTTAAATTATCGTGGATATAAAAGATTTATGGATCAATTTTACAGGAATATAAAACTACTTGTGATAAATTAATTCAATTCAATTCAGTTTATTTATATAGCGCCAAATTCACAACACATGTCATCTCAAGGCACTTTACAGTTCAATACATCAAGCACACAGCGCCCCCTCCTGGTTAAAGCAGAGGGCGCTGTGTTTCACTCTGCATCCCAGGGAGCGATTGAAAACCAATAACATAAATTTCTGAACAAGTGAATAATCCATATTCACAACAAGTTAACCAAATTTATTATTAAGTCCTGCCAATATAAGACTTTGTGTTTTTAACTTTACTAAACATTGCATAGAGGATTAAGTTTTAATCCAAGATAAACTAATCTTATTTGAACACGATTATACTTCCCTAAACTAACAGGATTAGTTAATCTGCAGCTAAATCTACAGGTGCTGGTCATAAAATTAGAATATCATAAAAAAGTAGATTGATTTCAGTAATTCCATTTAAAAAGTGAAACTTGTATATTATATTCATACATTACATACAAACTCATATATTTCAGATGTTTATTTTGTTTAATTTTGATGATTACAAATGACAACAAATGAAAATCTCAAATTCATCATATCAGAAAATTAGAATATTGTGAAAAGGTTCAAAATTGATGGCCCCTGGTGCCACACTCTAATCAGCTAATTAACTCAAACCACCTGCAAAAGCCTTTAAATGGTCTTTCAGTCTAGTTCTATAGGCTACACAATCATGGGGAAGACTGCTGACTTGACAGTTGTCCAAAAGACGACCATCGACACCTTGCACAAGGAGGGCAAGACACAAAAGGTCATCGCTAAAGAGGCTGGCTGTTCACAGAGCTCAGTGTCCAAGCACATTAATAGAGAGGCGAAGGGAAGGAAAAGATGTGGTCGAAAAAAGTGTACAAGCAAGAGAGATAACCGCACCCTGGAGAGGATTGTGAAACAAAACCAATTCAAAAATGTGGGGGAGATTCACAAAGAGTGGACTGCAGCTGGAGTGAGTGCTTCAAGAACCACCACACACAGACGTATGAAAGACATGGGTTTCTGCTGTCGCATTCCTTGTGTCAAGCCACTCTTGAACCACAGACAGCGTCAGAAGCGTCTTGCCTGGGCTAAAGAGAAACAGGACTGGACTGCTGGTGAGTGGTCCAAAGTCATGTTCTCTGATGAAAGTAAATTTTGCATTTCCTTTGGAAATCAAGGTCCCAGAGTCTGGAGGAAAAGAAGAGAGGCACTTCATCCACGTTGCTTGAAGTCCAGTGTAAAGTTTCCACAGTCAGTGATGGTTTGGGGTGCCATGTCATCTGCTGGTGTTGGTCCATTGTGTTTTCTGAGGTCCAGGGTCAACGCAGCCACATACCAGGAAGTTTTAGAGCACTTCATGCTTCCTGCAGCTGACCAACTTTTTGGAGATGCAGATTTCATTTTCCAACAGGACTTGGCACCTGCACACAGTGCCAAAGCTACCAGTACCTGGTTGAAGGACCATGGTATCCCTGTTCTTAATTGGCCAGCAAACTCTCCTGACCTTAACCCCATAGAAAATCTATGGGGTATTGTGAAGAAGAAGATGCAATACACCAGACCCAACAATTCAGAAGAGCTAAAAGCCACTATTAGAGCAACCTGGGCTATCATAACACCTGAGCAGTGCCACAGACTGATCGACTCCATGCCACGCCGCATTGCTGCAGTAATACAGGCCAAAGGAGGCCCAACTAAATACTGAGTGCTGTACATGCTCATACTTTTCATGTTCATACTTTTCAGTTGGCCAACATTTCTATAAATCCTTTGTTTTTATTGGTCTTCAGTAATATTCTAATTTTCTGATATGATGAATTTGAGATTTTCATTTGTTGTCATTTGTAATCATCAAAATTAAACAAAATAAACATCTGAAATATATGAGTTTGTGTGTAATGTATGAATATAATATACAAGTTTCACTTTTTAAATGGAATTACTGAAATCAATCTACTTTTTCATGATATTCTAATTTTATGACCAGCACCTGTAATACAAAAAGCTGAAGAATTAGCCGATCAGTAATTAGTTGGTCATATACCTGAAGCTGCAGTGGCAGCGAGAGGCCCTGAGCTCTGCGGTGGTGGCCCCAGGGGCCTTGACCCAGGCTGTGGAGAGCTGTCACCTCATACTGGGAGCACAGGCCTGTTCTGGCCACTAGGGGGCCCCCACTCAGCATCACATGATCACCACATCTGGAAAAAAAGAATAGAAAGTGAATTAAATTGAGTTTATAATAATACTAAAAATCATAATAATATAACTGATATAAATAGTAATAATATAATTATAATAAGCACCTATAGAGCATAACAGTGCCTTTAGGACTGTGTGAAGCTTTCTGTTCTACTTCCTCCTGTTTACACCTGAGAGACAAAAACAAAGTCAGAAAATAAACATCATTGTGGTGTTAAAGAGAGAGACCTGTGATAGTCGGATCAACTCTACCTGCTATGAGAGAAAACCTCCAGCGCCACAGGGGGCGTGACCTCCAGAGGCTCCCAGACCAGATCCTGATGGATCAGCTGCTGGGCCCCTCGGGTCAGAGAGCGCAGGGTCTCCTGCAAATGGACAAACACTTTAACTCAGAGAAAACCTTTTTTCCTCTTCAAAATGGCTCCGTTTTAATCTTCATTACCTCAGACGGGGTCCAGGAGTCCAGCTGAGGGTCGAGGAGTACATCACAGCAGAAAGCCCCTGAAGTTACTGCAGGAGGTAAAAAAAGAAGACAAAAAAAAAATTATCTGAATAGCTGTCCTTTTAGAGAAATTCTAATAAAAAATTAATAATTTTTTCCCAAAAACTCAAATATGAACATTTTGAAAGGTATGTTCAAATTCTCTGTAATATATGCACCTTTTTGATACTGGATGGCATAACAGCAACACCACTAAGTTTTAAATTTGCCCTTATAAAGAGTATCAATCACTGCTGTCAGGTCAGCAGACTACATATGGTTGTGCACCACTACTAGTGCAGGGCGCCCCCTGGTGGTAGGCAGCATTTTTAATACTGGAAGTGAAATATAGGAACTCTAGAAATTTTTTTTTTTAATAAAAAAGGAATATTACAAAGTATGGTTTGCCATGGTCTCAATATAAATGAAGTCATCTATTTCTTTTGTGCTTCTTTTATTAGCCAATTAATTCAGAGATTGCTGCCAACTCATCCACTTTGTCGCTCTATTTAGCAACTTTAAGAACCCTCTACTACCTTAAAGGGGAGTGGTGGCTAGTGGTTAGAATTCTGAAGTTGTGAGTTTGAAACCCACGCCCACAGACTGCCACTCTGGCTCTCTGAGCAAAGACCTTTAACCCCAGATTGCTCCCTGTGCGCTACACAGCGGCAGCCCACTGCTCCCCAAAGGGGAGAGTAAATTTCTCAATTGTGAAATCAATAGGTTCAATTTATCTTATTATTTCATTTATTTTCTTCAGTCAGAAAAAGCATTCTAGAGCCATTTTTTCTGTGTTTTTGGACACCTTGGCGACAATAAAGGTTTAATAGTTTTAAAGTTTTTGATTACCGTAAATTCTCTAATATAGGCCCGGGCCTTTATTTCACTCAAGTGCATCGCGGTCCAGGCCTTTATTGGATAGAGGCCAGAATTAGAGACAGGCCTCTATTGCTATTTGAGCAAAACAGACTACCAGTGGAATGAATAAAAATGAGATTTTGTGTCTATTTGAACCTATAAAACACTAGGTTCATTTATTGAAAAAGTACAGTTACCATGTCTCGCTTGGTTTGAAGTAAAAAAAAAAAAAAATCCTCCAATTCTGTTTAACTCTCCTCCTCAGTTTTTCTCCTCCTCTTCATCTCTCCCTTTAATCTCCTCATCACTCGCGCTCCTCATGTTCTGCTGCGTGTCTGTTCTCTTCCTCGCGCAGACGGGCAGCAGTCAGGGCCTGTCGTCCAGCTGCGCAGGGCTGTGGTACTTGTATGTTACTTACTACCACAAGTATAATGTTGAGGTATGCCCAGAAAAAACGTTTATAGCCCCGGCCTGTATTAGAGACCGGCCATTACCTCCTCTGACAGCGAGACCGGCCAATGTTAGAGTCCCGGCCGCTATTGGAATACAGGCCAATATTAGAGAATTTACGGTAGTTTTATTTAGTTTTGACTTCTGATTATTTTAAAATTCTATTTTCGTTTGAATTCGTTTTCATTGGCTAATTTAGTTTGTGAAATTCCTACCGGAAACTAGACCTCATATCTACTCATGATAAAGACTAACACCTATGCACATCTCTAATAAATTCAGCTAGTTTTATTAGTTTAGTAAACTCTTATTGCAGTTTCAGTTAGTTTTCTTTCTTTTTTTCTTTTTTTTCTTTGCAAGGTCCGATTAAGTAAATGAAAATGTTTTTTTTTCCATTCTAGTTTTTGTCGTTTCATTTGTTTTATTGCTCTGGAGTTTCCATCTACAGTTCAAAGCTCTGTGCACACGTCACAGTGCTGCGCATAGTTCAAGGCAGCACTCGCTGTATACAAGCGCACAATCACAAACTGGCCCCTAAAAACTAACACTGAGCATTAACCCTCCGTTTGCCCATTCCTGCAGAGGACTGTCCCAAATCAACATAGTGGGTAGGGCCAGTGGCTGTTCACTCTTAAATATCGAGTCTGCATCAGTGCAGGCTCGCTGGAAGTCGGCAGCAGGTGCAACAGCGGCCAAATGGCAGAAGAAACACGTTCCTTTGTCACATTGAAGGAAAATCGCAAGGTAGTATATGAAAAATACGTAATTTATTCCAAAATGGAAGGTCCTCTTTGAAATAGTTTTTCACCGTATACCTTTGTGTTAAGAAAGGGGCAAATGTTTAATGTTCTGTTAACCTGCGCAATGGGGTGCCACTGTGTTGTCATAGCAACGACTGCTTCAGTTTTCCATTGGAGGGAAGAAGCTGTCCCATTCTCATTTATACAACCCCCTCACACTAAAACCTACGCCCCTCTATGACGTGTGCAACTGGAGGAAGTGCACTTAAAGGTTTCAGCATCCAGGTTACAATCTTAAAGACTGGAATAGTACTTGAACCCCACAGCGTAACGGACGGCTAGTAAATGACAGAACCAATCCCTGTTTTTGAAATATTTCTGCTAAAAAATATTTTTTAAACTTTTACAAGAAGAACATGTACAATAGAATATTAATTATTTAGATAATTTACCCCTCAAAACAAGTTTTACATCGGCACTGGAACTCACTTTTCTGTTTTTTTTTTTACCTTATTTACCAAATAAGATTATAAAATTCAAACAAGAATATTAACCTTGCATAAACCTACACACACAAATACAGATTAGAATATAGAAAGCAATCATGGAGGAATAAGTGCTAGGGGAAAGAAAATTAAGATAAAGGCAATTAAAAAAATAAAAATATATTCAGGCATTTCATTGCATACTTTCCTTAAAGTTTTTTTTTTTTAAGTTTTGCTCATAAAAAAAAAAACAACATTTTAAGGAGTTGAGAACATTTTTCATTTTAGGCTATAAATATTTGAACATCAGAAAGACCAACTTAGACTGTCAATGTAGAATATATGAGCCAATTAAAAATGTGAAATGTTCTAAACTAATTTACTTTAGAAATAAGACAGAACATAAAGGCAAGACTTTCCTCCATAATTTAACACATTTGAATCTTGTCTTTAAGTTTTATTACCAGGGTTTATTTGGCTTGGTATTTTAAACTTGAAACGTTTAATACATTTAATACCATTGAGGTTTCCTCAATATTTTATTACAAGATAATTTATGACTATTGAACAGAAAAGGCTTTATAAGATCAATTACTCAACACTACATTTATTATGAAGTATACTTTCTAAATATTTCACTTTCAATGATGATTTTAAACAGAATGATCTTTATTATTTGATTTTTAAGGAGCAGGGAATGGCTTTGCATTTTTTATTTTAAGGAGGATTCAGTACATTTAAGCTTATGTTTATTCAGTTTGGTTAAATATTCCAAAATATTACAATTAACATCTAATAAATATTTAATAAAAACTACTACCTTAATCAAAAATTAAAATAGAATTTTTGTTTCAAAAATATAAAAAACAGAAGCTAATGAATAAGAATTATTGATTGAATATCATTTTAGAGAAAAAATTATGTTTGTTGATTATTTACAGGTTTTTTATGTTTATCCAAATACATTTTTTGCTTGAAACGTCACATACAGCATGAGCTTAAATGCACGCTTAGCCAAAGTGTGGATCGAGGGCACCTAGGGGCGGGGCCAAAGACGGTTCTGGAGAACTGGAATGCACTAAAAACTCTAATCCTTGGTGGGAATACAAAACGGAAGAACGCAAGAGCAGAAGTGCTTGTATTGGGAATGGGCCAAACATTGTAGGGTGGATCGATTATTCCGTTGCCTTTTATGACGACGCTTCCGATCTCTCACCCTGAGGAAACGTAAACAGAGAGGCAGGCCAGATACGGAAGATTGTTTTAGATTAAATCTGCTCTCTATAGTCATTCACTCTCATTCTCTTTTCAATATGAAAGCCACGCTGGGAAACTACTATTGTTAAGGACTCAGTCCAGGTGTTCTTATTTCACTGCAGCTCATTTTACTACAATTACTTATATTATGTTCTTTTAAGTTTAAAAAAAAAAAAACAGTTTAAATTATTTATTTCTTCAAACATCAGTAATTATTTTTGTTTGCAAAGTTTTGCAAAATACATTCTATCTACTCTATATACTCCAAATATGAAGCTGTGGAAGTAGAAACAGTTGCGTCTCCATTCCAAGTATTTATGTCGCAATAAGGGCTTATATTTTGGTTTTGGTTATAGTTGAAGATAACATGAGAGTTTGAAGTGATACAGAGAGAAAAATATGACAAAGCCCTAACAAGAGATTTCTGCATTGCATCTAAATGTACTGCAGGAAGTGTTTCAGATGTAAGAATGTGTTCCTCAACCTGGCACTTCTGGGGTGCTGAGCAGCTCCACGGGGTAATCGTCCTTAAATGCCGTCTCCAGGACCTGTCCTAGCAGAGCAGCGCAGGAACGCCAATAAGCCTGAAAGGTAAAGGGCCGGATTAAAACCCAAAACATTCCCATTTAGCTCCCTTTCCAGAAAACTGGAACTTTTGATTTCTTGATGCACCTCATTGACGAGACTTGGGTCGCTGTCTTTAAATGTAAGCAGAGTGAGGGAGCAGGAGTGGGTGAGGGGCTGATGCAGGGGCCACGGTTCTCCATCCACCATCGCCAGAGCAGAGTTGTTCACATGATGCTCAGTTAGATCTAAAAGTACAGCATTAGTATTCAAGAAAAAAAAATGTTTTGGGTGTAGGTAGTCTGGTCCTTTCCAATCTGACTTACGTCTAGCACAGCTCAGAGGAGTTGACATTCCTTTATTCATGATCAGGAGTGTACCGTCCAGTCCTGGCCCCTTCATGGACACCTCTATCTTCTCGATGCGGGGATACAGAGCTCTCTGCCTGGCCTGCTCTCTGGAGAAGACCGCGTTACGCTGACTGTGCACCTCTGCAGGAGAAGGACGCACAGCCGCTACAGCGGATGACAATCCTAAGAGCAGACAAGGAGAGAAGATTAAAAGCTCCATTCAGATTTAATTGTGTTTAGGAGAACAAAATGTATATTTCAGGCTCGAAAGGTTTCTCCCTTTCTCTCAATATTATATTAGCAACATTTTGTGGTAAGCTGTCCCTTTTTGGAACAACAAACTATATATACAGAGTCGCCATCTTTAATCAACCACAGGATCTCTAATCACATCTCCAAGAGCTTACAGTGAGCCGCGACTGTTACTAACTTCTGCAATCACTTAAGTTATTTTGTTTAAAATTTTTTATCAAAACCCAAACTATTTGACAGTCTAACGCTTATTGATTCAATTAGGGCTGAAACAATTAATTGGATTAATCGATTATTGAAATAATCCTCAACTAATTTAGCAATCAATTCATTGTTAACTGGAGTATAGACTATAACATATTTAGCTGACAGAGCAGCAGTAAATACATCAAAAATATAAGATAAAAAAAAAACTTTTTTGTCTGTCAATATGCTCAGAAACTTAGTTTCTTTAATTTTGTGAAAAATCTTCTTTAAGGAATCTTTGGCTATCCGGTTATTAATGAGTTAATCGAAAAAAATAATTTACAGATATATTGATTTGCAAAATAATCTTTAGTTGCAATTACCTATAAACATGGTTTATTTCTTAATAATTAAGAATTTTCTTCTCATTCCTCTTCGATACCATCTGTTATGATTTAGCAACTTGCACTTAAAATGATGAGTTTGAAACCCAAATGCTGGAAAATGACTTTCCCCTATTTAATAAACGACATTGTGTGCATTTCTTACATTTGAAATTAGATCTAAATAACTGTTGTTAAATTTTAAGAACTGACAATAGCTTTGTTTAGCTGTAGCTCATGGAAAACACCCTAACCAAATGTCATCTTGTGTCCTAAAATGGGATTTATAAGACTTACTTAGGCTGATTTATTTTGTCATTTTGGATATAAGAGTGTAAAAGAAAAGAAATTTCGTTTAAAACAGTTCTAGACAATTCAATTTTTTTTAAAGTGCAGCCTTGAAAACAGTAATAAATACGTAAAAATTAGTAATATAAAAATATGGCTGTATATTTACAGTTCTAACATTCTTTTTTTATATTTATACTATACTATATTTATACTATATATTCGAAGCTAATGCCATGACATTTTGCCTAAAGCTCTCATGCTAACTAATGCTAACTGCTACTTACGTCTCTGGAAAATTTGACACACGGTCCTTGTCGCCATTGTTATGACTTTAAATACAAATAATAGAGAAAAACAAACTTAAAAAAGCTACAGTTAAAGAGTAAACAAATAAATGACAAGCTAGAAACCCCTATAGTTGAAGGACGCCATGCATAAGCTCTGTGCACCGCATATTTATGTCCGCCGTCCAGCAGAAAGGAAAAAAGTTCCGCTTGACGTTTATAAACTGAGCTGCGATGTTACTTACCGCCACCAGGTGCCGCTGTTTAGACCTTGCTAACGATCTAAATTATTTTTTTTAAATAATATTTGTGTGTTTATCAGTTGAATTGAGGACTTGACTTAAGTCTTAGATTTGATGACCTGAGGAATTACTTGATTTTAACAGAATAAAGCAGTAACTTCACGTTAACCTGAGCGCCAATGACTTGTAATAGTGTGTCTTTACTTGAAATTATGTATAAAATATTAATAACACTAAAACTGAATTATTTAATCCACATGTTTTGTTTACTAATGTCATTAATATTTTATTAGTAGGTTCTCCACAGGAGCTGTGGAGAACCTGTTTGCTGCTGCTACTCTGAGCTGAGCTGTGGAGGAGCTCTATGCTACTGGTGCTACTGCTACTCCTCTACCACCAGGCCAGGCATCAGCCTTCACAACCAGGCCAGGCATCAGCCTTCACCACCAGGCCAGGCATCAGCCTTCACCACCAGGCCAGGCATCAGCCTTCACCACCAGGCCAGGCATCAGCCTTCACAACCAGGCCAGGCATCAGCCTTCACCACCAGGCCAGGCATCAGCCTTCACAACCAGGCCAGGCATCAGCCTTCACCACCAGGCCAGGCATCAGACTCCACCACCAGGCCAAGCCAGGAGCCTCCTACATAAGGCCAGGTATCTAAAATGCCACCTAAAGGATCAAAAGCAGAAATGAAGACAGATGAGGAGTATGTGTCACTCAGCCAATTAACCGAGTTGATGCAACAACAGAAAGACATGTTTATGGCTCTGCTGCAACAACAACAAGAAAATTTCAAAGGGTTTGTCCAAATTATTATGGACTCGACGAACAACAGAATGGAGTCATTGACAAAGGACATACAAGAAGTGAAAGTAAGCCTACAGTTCACACAAAAAGAAGTGGATGACCTGAAAAGTGACCGCAGAAAACATGCTGAGCGATGTGAAATCATGCAAGCAGATATCTACAAAGTTTGTGAAAGTCTGCTGAAAATAACAGATAAAATGGAATACTTGGAAGGACAGACATGACGCAACAACCTCATATTTGAGGGAGTACCTGAGTCACCCAGAGAAACCTGGGCTGAATCAGAGGAGAAAATCAAGAAGATACTGGTGGAGAATTTACAACTACAGCACAAGGTGGAGCTGGAGAGAGGACACCGCATAGGGAAACCCGGCGGAGGCGAAAGAACTAGGCCCATACTTGTTAAATTCCTCAGGTATAAGGACAGAGAGACCATATTACAACGTGCAAAGTCTCTCAGAGGAACAAAAATCTACATCAACGAGGATTTCACAGACACAGTCAAGCAAAAGAGGAAAGAGCTGATGCCTGAGCTGAAAGCTGCCAGAGAGAGAGGGGACATTGCCTACCTACGCTACGACAAATTGGTTGTTCATCCACGCACTAGCACACCAAAACAATCGTAAAGACATTGGACAATGGTATGTTGAACAACTTTTCATATGACACTTGAAACTACACATCCGAAATCGGAAAAATTGTTAAGAAAACTTGTTGAATTGAACCATCTGGAATCAAATACTTCAAAACATACTGCATACAAATCACAGGCCAATCAAATTGATATTGACCCAGATATTAATTTTTTTCTTAATAATGATGACTGCCAATATTATACTGATGACCAATATAACAACACTTTTAAGACTGAAAATAAAATCTCATTAATCCATTTCAATAGTAGAAGCTTGTATGCTAACTTCAGTAAGATCAAGGACTATTTAAATCAATTTACACAGTCGTTTAATATAATTTTGGTATCAGAAACATGGATTAATAATGAAAGGGGCATGGATTTCGAACTTGATGGATATGAGTTGTTGTGTGTGAACAGGAAGAACAAAAATGGTGGTGGTGTAGCTATGTATGTGGATATGAATTATAATTATAAGGTGATAGAAAATATGTCAACTGTGATAGATAATGTGCTTGAATGTATAACAATAGAAATAAGTCGGACAAAAAAGAAAAATATCATTGTAAGCTGTATATATAGAACACCAGGTTCAAATATAGATACTTTTAAAAACTGGATGGAAGATCACTACACAAGTGCAAACAATAAAGTCATGTTTATTGGTGGCGACTTTAATATAGATTTGATAAATCCAAATAAACATAAGTTGACGGATGAATTTATAAATACAATGTATAGTATTGGGTTACATCCCAAGATTACCAGACCCAGCCGAATCACAACTCACTGCGCAACGTTAATTGATAATATATTTTCTAATGAAATGGATAATAATACAGTAAGCGGATTATTAGTAAATGATATCAGTGATCACCTTCCAGTCTTTACAATCTATAATGATGATCAAATTAAAAATAAACAGGGCAAGATAACACTGTACAGAAGGGTGAGGTCTGAAGAAACTATGGATGCATTCAAAAATGAGTTACTAAGACAAGATTGGGAGTTCTTGTATCAAGAAAATGATACTGATAAAGCATACAATGAATTTTTAAGAACATTTAAAATATTATATGATCAAAATTGTCCAATTAAACAATACTACAGAAAACAAAAGTATATGAATGATCAATGGATGTCAAAGGGACTGAAGAATGCTTGCAAAAAGAAAAATACACTATATAGAGAATTTATAAAACATAGAACTAAGGAAGCAGAAGATAAATACAAGAAGTATAGAAATAAGTTAACTAATATTATGAGGAACTGTAAGAAAGATTATTACAAGAAGTTACTGGATGAGAATAAGCACAATATAAAAGGTATATGGGATATTTTAAATAGTATAATTAGAAATAAAACTAGAAATATTAATTATCCACAGTATTTTATAGAAAATGAAAAAAATATAAATAACATAGATGATGCGGTTAACAAGTTTAATGAGTTTTTTGTAAATGTCGGACCAAAACTTGCAAATGAAATTGAACATCCAGTGACATTCAATGAAGATAATCTAATAGATAGAAATCCAAGCACAATGTTCCTTAAACCTGTGGATGAGAAGGAAATCATAGATATTGTTAGCGAGTGTAAAAGCAAGACATCTACTGATTATGATGAAATAGATATGAAAATAATAAAAAAGGTTATTCATGGGATCTCCAAACCATTAATGTATATTTTTAATTTATCATTACAAACCGGTAAATTTCCCAATAATATGAAAATAGCTAAAGTTATTCCTGTGTACAAAACTGGGGACAAGCATCATTTCACAAATTACAGACCGGTTTCTCTTCTCCCACAGTTTTCAAAAATTCTGGAAAAAGTTGTCAATTACAGGTTAGACAATTTCATAGAAAGACATAATTTACTCTCAGATAATCAATATGGATTCAGAAGAAATCGATCAACATCACAAGCATTAATTGAACTAATAGAAGAAACAACAAATTCCATAGATAGCAAGAAATATTCTGTTGGGGTTTTTATTGATCTAAAAAAAGCATTTGATACTATAAATCATGATATATTAATTAACAAATTAGAGCAATATGGGATCAGGGGACTGGCACTAGAGTGGGTAAGAAGTTATTTAAAAAACAGGAAGCAATTTGTGAAGATGGGAGATCATCAGTCAAGATGTTTGGACATTGTGTGTGGTGTACCACAGGGGTCGGTCTTGGGTCCTAAATTATTCATCATGTACATTAATGACATATGTAAGATATCACAAAAACTCAAATTTATTTTATTTGCGGATGACACAAATATAATAGGATCAGGTGAGAATTTACAGCAACTTTTGGACACTATCACCTCAGAATTCATTAATATTAAATACTGGCTAAATAAAAATAAACTGTCACTAAATTTGAGTAAAACAAAATATATGATATTTGGTAACAAAAAAATAAATCATCATGCACGGGTACAGATAGGAGGGGTTCATATAGAGAAAGTATATGAAACTAAATTTCTCGGGGTGATAATAAATGACAAGATTTGCTGGAAGTCTCATATTAAATACATCAGCACTAAAATATCTAAAAGCATCTCTGTAATAGCCAAAGTAAGATATTTTTTAGATTACAAATCACTCCATGCTCTGTTCTGTTCTTTGGTCTTACCTCATTTAATTTACTGTATAGAGGTATGGGGAAGCACATATAAAAGTTCACTAGAGCCACTGTTCATATTGCAAAAAAGAGCCATGAGAATAATTCATAAAGTTGGATATCGAGAACACACCAACACACTATTTATAATGTCTAAAATCATGAAGCTTTATGATATGATAGAATTCCAAACAGCACAATTTCTATTTAAAGCTAGAAATAAGCTGTTACCAAGTCACTTGACAAATTTGTTTTATGAGAGAGAGGGGGGGTATGATTTAAGGGAGATAACTAATTTTAAGATTCAAAGATACAGAACTGCAAGGAAAAGATTTTGTATAACAAATAGTGGAGTGAGGCTATGGAACAGACTGAGCATGGATTTGAAGCAATGTCCAAACATCAACCAGTTTAAAAACAAATATAAACAAATGATTTTTACAAGATACAGGGAGGAGGGGGCTTGAGGGGGAATAGAACTTGCTCTGCCACTATGAATTAAAATCGATAAGAAGTCAAGAGAGATGAAATAATAATAAAAAAAAAAAAAAAAGTGTGAGAGAATAGGGTTTTTGGTTTATGGATATGTATGGATATACGTGTACGTAGATAGAGATATGTGTATACTGTCTATAGTAATTGGGGTGTGTATGTATATGCATGTATGTGTGTATGTGTTTGAGATACGGGTGTATGTGTAAGTATGCATGTGTGTATATATATGTAT